AGTTCAAAGACCTTTGATGACCTCGGTTCACCTTTTTTTAGTTTTACATGCTTCCAGGCTAGTTTTTGGAGTTGATTTCGAATTTAGTAACCATTTGAGCATTTAGGAAGAAATTTTGGTGCTCTCGTAACATGCAACGAAGCTGTCAGTGGCGGTTGACATCTATTAACCATGAATACCCGGCAGGACGTCTACTGGTTGACCTGACCTGACCTGACCCGACCTACGTTCGCGGCTAGCAAAACACCAATGCGGGCGAGGGTTAATGACATGAAGGTGCAATGGTGTAAGTCTGTGTTTTTACTCCCATTGCTGAGGTTCAGTCCTATCGGTCCGTGTATTTCAGCAACTGTCTACCGATTCATGTGCTTCACCAGGAACATTCACACAGAAACATAATTAGATGTTGATTTTTTCAAGCAAACTTTGGACAATCATAAGAATTTACCAGAGGAATGATGGGAATATCGTAAACGATTCCTCCTCCTAACATGCCCATCATTACTGGGACCCACAATTTTATGACTCTTATTTGCGGTTAAATTCCAGGATTTCGTAATCAGAGTCGGAGTCGTTCGGAGTCAACAGTTCTGACCCCAGTCAGAGTCAGAATCGGAATCGATTTTGGAATCCGGACCAAGACTCGTAGTCTGAGTCACCGAAAATCAATCGACTGCGTGGACTTGCCATGACTGCGGAGTCGGAGTCCGAGTCGATCGTAGTCGTCAATTTTGTCCGGAGTCAGAGTTGAAATTGACTTTTGAAAGCCGTAGTCGCAATCGGAGTAACCCCATCGACTTCACACTCACAGCCCTGGTAAGCACATCACCCGTCATAAGCTAGTTCTCCTTACTTTTAGAGGCGGAACTATGCCATATTATGTCAGCAAGCGTTTATAATGCATCGTAAAAGGTCTCACATAGGTTTAAGTGTCAATTTTGAAACCAAGGAACCACTTTCAACGGATCCGAGCAGCGCTGGGATTAAATTCGCGCTAAACTGGTGTTTGGCCACACTGTGCGCCGGTTGGCCAAACACCTGTGGGTGAGACGCACTGTGGGCACTGGACATGGCGCGATGGTTCCAGCAGACTGCTTGCGGTAAACGTTTGGTTCAAAGATTCTGCGAATGCATGGGTGTATCGTGTCATAAGCGGCTATTTTGCGTGCCTACTTCTAATGAAATGAAGTATTTATAGAAATTAGCAATCCTTTTTATGATTCAGTCATTGTATCAGAAATTCCGTCCATTCATGTGTGCCTGTCACACGGTTCCATAAAAATCGACTTCCCCTTACCGAGCTCTTTTCGAGAGCTTCAGTGGAAGAATCGGAGCATAAGCTGCTCATGACCCGCAGCCACACCCACTGCCCCACTCCCCCCCCCCCCCATCATTCAGCCCGAGCCCGCCCGTGGGGCGCGCCGTGCGCAGCTCAGGGTCAGACTGTTGCCGTGCCCCGCGGCGCTGACCCCCAGACAGCGGCCGCCGGTCGGTGCAACGAACGCCGTGACCTGGATCGTGCCTGACCTCCCGGCGGGGTCAGACAGCCCCCCCGTCTCAGCCCCCGCCCGTGCCGGCCCCCGCCCCCACCCTGCCGGCAACTGTTGCAGCAGGCGCCGAGAGATGAGGGAAATACCGTCTGGAATATTGATCGAGGGGGAGTTGGGAGGTGTGCTTATGAAAGTCGGTACGTCCAGAGAATAGGCGTTGTTTTCTAAGTCTACTGGTGCAGTAATCACACATCGTTTTACATGTAGCCCAACTTATTTATTGTGCTTACCAACGGGATGTTTTATTGGTCATGTGGTCCCTAAGCACGTCCACAGTTCACATGGCAGCATGTCGTCGTTCCTTTCATTGAAGGCCGCAATACTCAACTTGAAATTCCTCATGTTTTACCGCCCCGGATAAAACTCAGCAACATTTAGAGATGTAGGGCTACATGCTTCTCATGATAAAATAATAGTTTGTTGACCTCCATGTAATTGCTTCGACTTTCATGTCTTTATTCTTGGCGTAGTTGTAGACGGTGCAATTAAAAGTTGTAGGTAGTTCCATCATAAAAGTTCCAACGAGACAAGCGACACATACGTCCGGTTCCCAATTCCCATGGACTTGACGATCAAGGCACGCCGACAAAAGCAGTGACATGGAGACACCGTTCGTCACCTGCCACCATTCCCATGTAAGCGCCATAGTAACTGGCTGTTACACGCACCACGCACGCACCTTCCGCCGGGGCGCCGGGCGCGGCGTTTTCTAATGTTCATCACTTTCCGGCCTGGTTTCTAATGCCGGCACAAACACCACTTATGGCTGTTTTTATCGTCCCAGAGAGAAGCCTGTGACCCGAAAAACGTGTGTAGCTACTCCCGAGCTAGCGACGGTAGGGTATTCATTGACAAAACATGTCAGCAGTGGCCGCGCGTCTCCGACATGGCCGTCTGGAGTTTCGGTGAGCGCTCGGTCGAGGATGCGTCACGTCGGCTGGCCTGGTGGGTCATTTTACGTTTTCACGGATAAATGAGATGTTTCGGAAAAGATGTAAGGGTTATGCGCAGTGTTTTCTCACGGGAACTCATATACCTCGGAATAGACCATATACATCAGTTAAATAGCCCCCATTGCAGCAGATGATAGACCACTTTCACGTCATTGTCGTGATTTCAATAAAACTATCCCTGCAAGAAGCCGTGGCTGACGGCTGTGAAACTCTCGCAGGATATGCCACCTGCAAACTGCAGACGGAGACGAGTAAAACGAAACTACCGCCTATTGGCGCACCGTCGAAAGTTGCACCTTCCGCGGTGGGCTTTCGCCTTGTTTGTTGATTATTCCTGCACGCCTGCATTGGTGGCGAGTGGCCTTATTGTCGTTTTAATCGTTTGCTCACGCTGCTACCACTTGCTTCTGGTCAGCGTGACGGTAACTCGCACGCTCCAGTCTGCGGCAGTGCACTTTCGCTCAGTTTGGCCCAGACGGCAGAGCCCCGTGCAGTCTCCCATGGCCTAATGGAGCGGAACGGCGGGCCTACCGTGATGCAATCCAGTCTGTCGTTCGTTTATAACATTACATGCTATCCATTAAATGTTACAGCATATACTTGCATTACGCCTGATGAAAATGTATTACCGTTGTTCAAACAGTTCGCCGGAATGTGTTGCATAGAACTTCGCTAAGAACGGCGACCTTAGAACTTCTTTCAGCTGAAACTCATAAAAACTCGGTTACCGTGCAAAAGTTTGAACAGCTTGAACGTATTACTAATAGCCCAAAGTGACCAGCTATTTCTATCACTTGCGCAAGCAGCGCTGACCTTCCCAGCGTCGGTTGGAGTCGACTGGTGCCCGGGTGGGTCAGTCGTCACCGACCACCTGTCGCACTAGCCGTGACGCGGCTCGACACTCCGCTCCCGACGCGTGCAGCCATGCCGTCAATTATGTCACAGCCGGAGCCGTTATCTCGCCATAGGCGGCTGTCGAAGGCGAGAACAGTTGGTAGGCGGGTGATACGGAGGCGTAGAGACAGACGGGTGGATTGAGAGGGTCCGCCAGCAGCGGGTACCGGCGGCAATCGGCGCAGATGGGACCAAGGTCGGCCCTGGGAGCGGAGCGTCTCTTAGAGACGGATGTGACGGGCGGTCAGCTGGATAGTTGATACTTCTTTTCCGAACGACATGCTGCATATGCGGCGGTGGTGAACTGGGCTGTGGATGCGTTAGGGGATAATGCCTTCTCTTACGTGCTCATAAACGTTTGTCTGTTGGCCCGTCCCTTCCTTACTGTGTAAATGACAATCTTTTGAACACAGTCTTTGGTCAGCCCTGCCTCATGGTTGAATAGCCGTCAGGCGGGCAACGCCCTGCGGATCAAACACGTAATTGCGGGGTCATTGGTAGCAATGCGCAGCACGGTCGCAGCTGCAGTATAAAGTCGAAGGAATAAATTGGTGCAGCGAGTTACTGGCAGCTGGATCTGCGTCTTCTGTCCGTCATATAGACGGGCTCGCTCAAATCGATGGAGGTTGAAGGAGAGCTAAGAAAGTCTGGCACTGCCCTCGCCTATTATTCTGTATGCGAGAAGGGATGTGATAACTGCTATTACAAGGTTACCGAACTTAAGTTCGGAGCGATTGAAAGCACTCGTCTTTCTCCCTTTTGTGTTCCAATGCGCAGCCTGTTGTTAACTCGGAACGTTTCACAAGCTCCTCCCGGGAAAAAATCGGGAGCAGCCGTAGGAATTCTCCCGCGTCATGGCTTATTATTGGATTCCTTTCGTCTGAAGCCGGCTAGTATTCCCTCCTTTCATCGCCGGCGACATAAAGTCCCGGAATGTGTCAGCATCCGTGGCCAGAGGTGGGTCACGGAGCGCAGTTTCCCTTCTCCTTCGTTTTCTCTTGCCTTTTTCTTCTTTCACTCGTTCTCTATAGAACATCGTTTATCTGTCTCGCCACGTCTCTCTGGAAACCTCACTTTATTACATTCGCATTTACTGTCTCGTGTGCACCGAAGCCAAATAACGCCACTTGATACTCGCCGTTGTTTCGTTATTCACACATGTTGACGACGAAATTTGCAGGTGCGCTGTGTTTAAAGAAATTTACGTTTACGGACGGTTACATTACGATATCCATAATTTTGTGTCTCCTTCATAAAACGACCGGTATTCTCTCGGGTGAAATGTTCCATGCAGTCTATTACATGCTCTAAGCTACCAGCTATTTCGGCCGTCTTCACTAGCTTGCATTCAAGCCGCACATCTACATGACCTCCGTCCATAATAATGGCCGCCATGCGAGTTCATTGTGCCATCCAAAGGGGGTCAGATTGCCGGTTACCCCACACGCAACCGAAACACAGCGAGCTTTGACCTTCAACAAAAACTGCGTACAACACACCGGTCCGCGAGCAAAAACGACCTTCGCGTGCACCGTTTCCGCCCCCCCCCCCTCCCCTCCCTCTTCTAATGTGCGGGTGTGCTGACTGCTCCGTTCCGCCCCAGATGCCAACTTTTTGCTGCGGTTCCTGCGGATGAAGAAGTTCCGGATGCCGGAGGCGCAGGCGGTGCTGATGAAGTACCTGAAGATGCGGCAGAAGGAGCCGCGCTACTTCCACCGGCTCGACATCCAGGACCCGGCCATCAACGACCTCGTCTCACGCGGGTGAGTGCGTGCCTTTGACGCTATGGGGACGGTTTGCCGGAGGGTAGCGGTGGATGGGGGTGCACGAGTCAGTGGGATCGCCCCGGGAACGCTACAGCTCTCATTCTGATGATCTTTAAAATTGCTAATTTGGAAACTGGTAACGAGTAACGTGTGCTTTGTTCGAGGGCCGCACATTGCTACGCAAAAAGCTGGTTGAAACGGGATAAGCTTCTATCGCTCTCCCACACCGTTTGCTATTCATTGTTCATCTAAACAGGTGGACGGCTTAAATGAGGGGCGACAACACTGACCAACAAACAGACAAACAATGCCCCGCCCTCCACTAACGGGACCGGCTCAGCAGCTTTTGTTTGCTGTCTCTGCCTGCTGCTGCAGTAGCGGTATACCCAGCGGTGCGTTTAGTGGGAGATGCTCCTTGTGATAACCCAGTGACACACTGCCTGTAGTCGTCTCTGGGGGGTGCGTGTCGACCCCGATCCCTCCCTTCCCGTCACCTCATCAAACCCCGATAGTAGCTCCACTCATCTAATGCGATCGCGCCCCTTTCCGAGTGTACCGTGCCGCTCGCGATGTCGCCAGAGGGCGGATCTGGAGCTCTATCCCGGATCCAGACACGATAGTGAGCAGCGTAAGCCGACCGTTCGCTCCACATACCAGATCGGAGGCGGCTGTTGACTATCCCAGAGCACCCTCGGAGCTCAACGGATGAGACGTCTGTGACGATAACGGGACGGTTGAATTGTCTGTCTCTGGTCCGGTCTTATTTGTGCCGATCTGAAGTCAACGGTCTTGATGTTTCTACGTTTCTGGCTCCTGGATTCTGACCCCCTGATAAGTGTCCAGTGTCCTTTGCCCCATGTGTCCAGTGTCCACGCACCATTCAGAAAACCCAGCTCAGACATATCCAGCTCCCCGTCCTGCCTCTCACACTCCCTCCCGCTCGGCCCCGTCTTGCATTACCTCCTGCTGACCACTCCCAACCTATCCTCTAGCACTCCCCAGTCCCACCCACCTCCCCGCCCGGCCTCTTCCACTCCCTCCCACCCAGTCTCCGTCCCGCCCACCGCTCGCCCACCGCGCCGCTCGTCCGTACTGGCCGACCCACTTGCCCGTCGTCTCCTCGGAGCGCCTGCCCGTCCGACCACGGTCGACGGTGGGCACGCTAGGCGTTTTCAGCGGCTGGTGCTGGGCGCGCCGCCGTGCTTTGGCCTGGAAGTGGCCCAGCTGTGTGCTCGATTTGGCCCGATAACGGTTGTTTATCTCGTCCACTTCCGATGGAGGCGGAGTGGCTCCGCCGGCAGCGACTGCCTTCGCTGACCTAAGGGCTAAGGCTGAGCTACGCGACTCCGCATGGTTCTGTGACGTGTAGGTAATTGGTAGGGAATTGTGTCATCACCTCATGACGATTGGGGTTTCCAGGCGTTGGGTTTCACCTTGACCGATAAATGACTCGAAATATGAGTGTAGGTTTAGTTCAGTCTCCAGGATTTGATCGAGCGTAAACCACACGTGTCACGACTGCCTTGCCGTCGCGTGTCTTCACGGAGAACGGAGTAAATCACTGGTTGATGGATTGGTCTTGGTATTTCTACCCTTCAGTGTGGTGTTTTCATTAACACTTTTCTCAGACACGCCTCAACAAACAGTAGCCACAACTACACCATTAGAGCACGAGCACCCAAGCGGCGTGGCGTTGATTTGTGGGGCCGGCTTGCCCCCGTGCCTCGGTAAACAATGGATGTCGGCTCGGGGACCGCTTGCGTCAGCCCCCCCCCTCAGCCCCCCCCCCACGCGACGGTCACGGCCGCCGCCGGTTACCCAATAGCGCTCCGGTGCTGGGAGATAACGGACCTCATGGAACGGAGGCCCCCGCGGGGGGTAACCGTTTGGCACGCGCTCCATCGGTGTCGCCCCGGCCCTGACTTCGTGACCCCTGACCCGTGACCGGGCAGTGTCTCCGAGGGCTGAGACAGAGTGACAGGCAACGCTCAGTAGCGGTGCATGGAGTGCACAGTCGGCGTGGCGTGAATCAGACCACAATTGGCTGGTCTGGTGTTTGGGGTTACAGTCTGGTGTTTGGGGTTACGGACTACGGTTATGATTCCATCGTTGGTCTTTAGTGCCGTCATCATTGAAGAGGGAGCCCGGAAGTATTGCAACAAATGCCGCACTGATGAGCAACGAGCATATTGTGATTCCGTTTCGCAGCTCGGGATGTGAAAAAGGGAGCGCGTATCACAGTTGTGGGTTTCGGTAGCCAAACGGTCACCCTATCACCAGCACTCAGCAGGTAAGCGGCAGCCAACATAACCCTGCTTTATCCTTCCATGTATCGAGGCGTACATAGAGAGTGGTATCGTCCAAAGAAGCTCTTGCCTCTCGCCGAACTGCTATCAGTTTAGCGGCACACACAGCACTCCGGCTTGCCAACATGCTGGCGGTGCACTGGCCGTCACTGACCTCTCTGACCGTCACCGTTGCTGACCTATCTCCTCCCTCCTCAGGTACATGTTCGTTCTGCCGGAGCGGGACAGTGCCGGCCGGCGGGTGGTGGTCTCCCGCGGCTCCCGGGTCGACCCGGCGCGACACACGCCCGAGCAGGTCATCAGGACCAACCTGATGACGTTCGAGACGCTGCTAGAGGACGAGGAGAACCAGATCCGCGGCTTCACCTACCTCTACGACCAGAAGGGCATCGGCTTCTCGCACGTGCTCATGTGGTCGCCCAGCCAGGTGTCGCATATGATCGCCTGCTGTGAGGTGAGTAACCGCTGGATTTGAAAGGCGACGGGTGAGAGGGAGAGGAAAGGGTGACGAACGGATGAAGGGAGGGGCGAGAGTGGGGAGACGGGTGGCAGGAGGCTAGGAACGGAGTGGAGAAACTAAGGAAATGCGAGGCATCTGACAGAGTAGGCAGGTGTGAAGACAGTTGGTTGAACCTTTTGTAAGTTAGGCAGATGCAAAGACTGTTGGTTGAACCTTTTGCAAGAACAGCTCAGAGCCCTGTGTGGTTGCATATTTATGATATATATATTATGTTGTCCCATAAACCCCTGGCTCCATTCAACGCACTTACTGAGCCTCTCATTCGTCCACAGAGTGCCATGCCGATGCGCCACCAGCAGATCAACTTTGTCAACGTACACACACTGATCCACACGGTGCTCGAGTTCGTCAAGGGCCTGATCGCCGAGAAGCTGCGCTCGCGTTTCATCATCTACAGCAATGTGGACAAGCTGCAGCGCTCGCTGCCCGTCAAGATCCTGCCCAAGGAGTACGGCGGCGAGACGCCCATGGAGGAGATGATCGGTGTGTATAAGGGGAGGGGGGAGGATGCTGCGGTGGGAGGGGGTAGAAATCGACCATTGATGTTCGGGGTGGAGTGTCTTGGTGTTGTGCGTAGTATATATTTTCGGTTCGATTGGATGTGGTTGACAGTCACAATGTTTTCTGTGTGCAGATATTTGAGAAGGAACGTTTTGAAACGGATTTTTACGGGACAATTTGTGCACGATAAGTCTATCTTCGCAATTTTTAAACGTCACCTGATACGATATCACATCCATGTGTCAACCAGTTTCCGTCGTACCGCGTCCGCACCTCGGGTCAGCGATCACGCCACTTCGCCTCCTCCCATCCCTCTACATCCGCATGACCACCCTCTCAGTCTGTCTCCAGTGCACCCATGTAACCTCCCTCCCGTCTGTCTCCCCACAGCCGCCTGGAAGAAGGAGCTGGAGACGAGTCGGGAGCGGCTGCTGGCGCTAGACCAGATGCGGGTCCGTTCGGAGGACGAGGAGCCCTGCGTGTCGACCGCCGCCGGCCTGCACTGCTCGCTGGCCGAGCTCGACATAGACTAGCTGCCCGGCTGGGGGACGGCCGAGTCGGGGCGGGGCGGCAGCGGCAGCACTGCGGGCTGGCCTCCGCGCCGGGAGGCTGGAGTGGCTATGAGACTGCCGCGCCAGTCGAGAGGACAGATTAGCCAGGCGCTGGACCGTCGGACGAGCTGGCCCTCCACGGGAGGCGCTGGGGGCCACCCGGAGGGAGCGGTTCGTCCGAGTCTGTCCCTATGGGACAGCGGCCGGCGAGGCGCCGGGGCTGGTGCCGGGATCCGTGTTGAAGCCGCCGGGCGGTCTCACCAGCCGAGCCGACGACAAACGACCTCACCCGGCTGTGGTGGAACGATCTCCAAACAGCGTCCGGCGACAAACAAAACGTGTGTCAGTGTCAGTGTCGGGGTTTCAGTGTCAGTACCGGGAGTGTCAGTGTCGGGGTGTCAGTACCAGAGCCAGTGTGTGTCAGATGTCGTCAGGTGAAACTGTGTCGTCATCGGTGTCAAATACGCCGGGAACGGGAAGGCTGTCGTGCTCAACGCCCTGCCGTTCGATCTGCCTCACACGACAGGCGGGATGCCCAGTTCAGTGCGACAGATGTCTCATTACATCACTGCTCTGTCACCGTTCGACCGCCTGTCGCCACTTGCCCCACGAGCAGTGAAGGGTTGCCAGGTGGACTCTGATCGGTTCTACCCGATACGACCTGGGCCCTGAGTGTGTGTGGACACCGAGAACGTATTACCGCCTCTGCCGCGCTCCGTTAGGGGCGCGCTGGACACTGTATTGACCCTACAGTCCCATATCTATTGGGACAGGGTGTGCGTTGGGCATGAACTCGAGCGCAACAATGCGACGTTTGTCTAAATAACCGCACAGTGAGGGTGATAAAGCAATGTGACATTAACTAACACTAACCAGACGCGAGGACAACTATTTATGGCTCATAGTTCAGAGTGGGACCGACCTCTCCCACCGCGCGCCAAGGTAAAATAGCTTTACCGTGCAGTGTGTCGCGAACCGCTTGCCATGCCACGGCGGATGTAACTGCTGTGATCGCCATTAGACCGTGGACGGAATGGATCAGTATTCAGTATCACAGTTTGTGCTCGGAGAGTGTGACGGGTAACTGTTAGCGTGGGGGAACAGTGCGTAGTCCAGTGTTTTTGGGGTGTAGTACAATGTACAAGTGTAGCTCAAATATAAATGTACCGATATCAGATATGTTGTGAAGGATAAGCTGTTACGTATCGGCGATTCTCCTTTGGATTCACACATCAAGAAGTTCGAATCACGCACTAAAAGCGCCACAACCTCCCGGCCATCCATCCTCGACACAAACATTTCACAAGTTTGATAGTATATGTATAACAATCCGTAGCTTGGCTCCCATAAGAGTTGCAGAGTATTGACTAGAATCGCTGTCACGTAAGGCACGCTCTGGCCCCTGGACTCGCCGCGGGGGCCGCTCTCCCTCGGCTCCGCGCTCACAACCCGGCTACATTGCCTAAACGGGCGCACAGACGGCACACAGCTCGGTAAAAACACGCACACGGGTCTACCCGCCCGCGTGCCGGCCGGACGCGGACAGACAGCCTGCAGGGTGGAGGGGTGATAGTTCCGCGGCACCGGACGGCAGCGGTCACCGCCCTGACCTCGGCGTATCAGCATCACATCGGTCATGGAGGACACGGGACGAGCTCTGGAAGGATGATAGGCTGCAGCAACTTAGTGCGACATAAAGGGACAACAAAAACAAACTGCCGGGTCAGTGGGTAAAGCAGACAAATCAGTGGATCATCATGGTAGGGCATTAACGCGGGGAACGCTCGACTTAAAGCTAGATCGCTACTCTGTAAAGCAACAATACACCAACAAAAGCGCACAGCTCCACTACAATGTTTGGCAGGTTGCACTGGAAGCGAGCTAACAGAACAGCCGCAACCGGCGAGCCACGGGCTCACACGCTAACAAAATCTCACTCGACGCCGGCGGCTGCCGTGTTAGTCACATAGTGTGCGCTGTAGCGCCGGCGAACGACCAACACTGGTGGCCTCTGCTGATCGCAGCGCCGCCTATTTCGCCGGCTGCAGCTCCGCCTCACAGGCGCCGCATTTCCTGGCCCTCCTGCTGTTCAGCAGCGTGCACTTGGGACAGGCCAGATCATCGGGTGGATCGACCGGCGGGGCGGCGACGGGTGCGACCGGTGCCGGCCGGCTGCCCGTCTGCCGCGTCTTACCGCACATGGAGCACACCCGCACTGACACGGGGTTCAGGTAGGTGCACGCGTGACACGACCACTGCTCGTCGGCCGGCGCCGCCGCGGTCGGCTCCGGCCGGGTCGGCCACGCGCCCAGCTCCGGTCGGCGCGGCTCGGAGGGCGAGGCGCGCGGTCGGGCCGCCGGCTCCGGGCTGGGCTCCGGCCGCGGCGAGGGGCGCTGGCTGGACGGACGCCGCGAGTTGCCGCTGTCACCGGCTCCGTTACCTCGACCGCCTCCCGCCGAGCGCGGCGCGGTGCCCTGCTCCCCTGCTGCCGGCCGTGGCGTCTTGCTGTGATCGCTGACTAATGACGATGAGCGCGGCATCAGATTGTCGTTCGCCGGAGAACCTCTGGAGTTCGGGTGCACATCCCTGGGCAGCGAGTGAGACGCCTGGACGTGCGGGGTCTGCTGGGGCGTCTGCCGGGCCGTCTGGTGTGTCTTCTGAGACACCTGCTGAGCTGCCACCTGGTGGTAGTCTGCCGGCAGCGAGGGCCGCGGAGCCGGGTTGTGCTCCACGCCACCGTATTCGCTCGGAAGCGAGCCGCGCGGCGCTGGGTCGTGCTCCGCCAGCGCGGCCGCCCGCACGCTGTCACTGTACTCGTAGGTAGGGGGTCTCTGCGGAGCGGCGGACACCTCGGTGGGCGGAGGAGGCCGCGGTGGAGCGCTATCCATTGTTGAACCGGCGCGGTCCGAGCCAGCTGGCACCTGATGCTGGCGGTGTTGCTGTGACTGCTGCTGCTGCTTGTACTGCTGTTGCGGCTGTTGATTGTACTGCTGCTGCTGTTGACTATGATGCTGGTGATGTTGCTGCTGCTGATATTGCTGGTGTTGCTGTGGGTGCTGCGGCTGCTGCTGATAATGTTGCTGCTGCGGCTGCTGTTGATATTGCTGTTGCTGCTGGTGGTGGTAATGCTGCTGCTGCGGTTCATTGTGATGCTGTTGATGTTGCTGCTGTTGGTGATAGTGCTGCTGCTGTCGAGTCACCGCTGAAGACTCCGGTCCCATGCCGTTCCGAGTCTCCGTCGCCGGTGGCCGGGCCGAGCCATTTGACAGTGGAGCTTGCTTCGGCTGCTGATCGTACGTCTGCCGCTCCTGTCCGGCGGCCACGTAACCCCTGCCGCCCCGGGGAGGCGCCCGCGGCTCGGAGCGTGGCGTCGGCAGGGTGGCCGACCGCTGGAAGGACGCACCTCTCTGACCATCCGCCTCATCCAGCTCCGGTACGTTATCGTACCGCCCGGAGACAGGTCTCCGCCGGTCCAGGCTGTTCAACACGTACCCCCAGGAGTCGTCCAGCGAGTCATACGACGGCGGCTGACGGACCTGAGGGCTCGTTCCCGCTGTCGCAGTCGTCGCAGCGTCGCCCACCAGGTCCCAGCTGGCCAGCTGGTGTTCGTCCAGAGTCGCCGGCAGCAGAGCGGCGGGGGCCGGCGACCGCTGCTCCGACCGCTCCGCCGGCTGGTGGCGAATTGTCTTGGGGATCCAGCCCTGGTTGTCCCGCGGCTCACGCTCGCCCACATCCACCAGCCGAGCGGTGGGCACGGGCGGGAGCGCGGTGGGTGCCGCCGCCGGCGCCGGGTGCCAGGGGTACACCGGGGGTGCTGCGCCTCCCCCACCCCCTCCGCCGCCCGATACCTCCGTCGGCGGAGCGAAGTAGCGCTGGAAGTTGCGCTGCCGGAGGGTGACGTTCAGGTGGTGGACGGCCGCCTCGACACCGCCCACGTACGAGGAGCGATAGCAGAGGACTCCCAGCGGGGTGTACGCGCCGGCCGGTAGAGACTCCAGGATGCGCTCGATGATCTGCAAAAGGACAAAGGGGCGGTCTCAGACGCGAAAATAGTGTGGACAGAATTCTAAATGTAGCGGGCAGTGTTATGCAGAGAAGAGAGCGATGCGAGAAACCTATCAGTAGCAGCTTGACAGCCACGCATATTCTGATAGGGCCATAGATAAGCTCGTCAGTCAAGAGTCTGTTCCGATAAGTCGTCACAACAAACACTTCAACTCAACGTTGTTATCAGCTTAAATGTTGTTGGTCGGCAAAAACTCGGTAAACAATGAATCACCAAAGCACGTTAGTGTCGACAGTTACCCCTGATTCATTGTTTTTGTCACAGCTGCGTAACTCTACTAGGACATACCAATAAGCGATTAATCGTGAAAGACCCGGTTAGGCGGAGATCACTTTTTATTAAACATTTTTATTCGCTCACTCACTCCGCATGGGTACGGAGTTCACTTTAGGGTGCTTGCTCGCTCATCCGTGCCCATTCACGGCTGCATAATTTCTCGGCGCGTTTACACCACAAACAAAGAGCTCAGCAGTGAGTCAGCGGTGACGCCTGACAGGCGCCGGCCGGCCGGTGTTAGCGCTACTAATCCCCGGGCACTTCCTGATACGCTCCGAGCGGGCACTGAGGCCACGCTCTGTGCCGATAGTGCGCCGCGCTGAACAGATTCCGGCCTATGACGCCGACTGCGAGCGCCAGATACGGCGACGCGTCAACAAACGTCAAATGAACAGGGCAGTGTGAGAATTACCAGAGCATGTGGGCTCTGGAGAAATGTCCTGGTCCATGTCGATCACCCTGATTGCGCAACATTTTCGCTAGCGTATTGCGCTTCATTCAGGTCTGCGCGCTAGACCACAATACGCGCGATAAATGAAATTTGATTCCAAACCGACCTTGGTAAAGCTCTAATCCCTCCCCATTTTTCCTTTCGATTTTACCACCGATACGTATCGCCAATGGCCGCCATCTTCCCGACGGTTCCACATTCACCAGAAAACCTTCAATTTGACCCTGAGGCCTGAACACCCTTTAATTTAACCCCATCGATCTCCAAATCAGACAATCTGTTCAATCAGCTACAGGCTACCCTGATATTCCTCTAACAACCAACTCTCCTGCACTAACTAACAGCAACTGGTATTTGTCACCAACCCCATTGATTATCTACCAACGTAAGATCGTCTTTCCTTGCTGACCCTCTACTCCTCACTGACACCTTTCTTTCTTAGCCCCTTCCTACCCACCCTGCACCAAAACCAGCTGATTCGTCTCCCAGCACTCACCCTGCACTCCACACTGGCCATGAGTGTGTCGATGGCCGCCTTGGTGACCTGGTCCACGTCCACGGGCTCGCGCAGCGTGGCCGTCTGACTGGTGACGTCCACACGGAACCCCATCTCCTCCAGCAGCCGGTGCGCCTCCAGCAGGCGGGACTGCACCGTGTGCACGTAGTAGCCAGAGTACATCTGGAAACATAGGACAGAGTACAGATGGCACTTGTCCGTCAGGACGTCGTGTCCTCAGGTACAAAATTGATGATAGATGATTGTAGAAGTGCGTTGTGCTAAAACATGCCAAGTGTCAACTGCCATGGTCACTCTGGAGAACAGCGCAATTCAAGTCTTCAAGAAAAGACCTTGACACAAGCAAACCATTACCAGGCGCCTACTATCGTTTCATAACTACAAGTTCAACATTCCTAGAAAATTTCAGGGGTGCAGATCCCAAGCAAAGGACCTCATCCGTTCCCGAACCGAGCTCACATTGATTTTGGTGAACTCTGCTCGCCAGGGCTGCGCCAGGATGCGGATAGCGTACTCGTGCAGCGCCTCGAAGGCCTGCGCGGCCGTCAGCGGTCGGCAGTTCGCCTGCTCCAGCGAGGCGCGCAGCACGGTCGACGTACACGTCAGGTAGAACTTGCTGTCGTGGGCCACCCGCGACAGGAACTGCGACATCAGGTCTGTGGCAAAGTGGGCGCGAGGCGCCGAGGCGGTCAGCGGGGGAAGCTGGCAGTGGCAGTGTCACAGAGTTGGGTACAAGGTACTCTTTGGTTTGTGTGCATTGCCATAATATATGATGCAAGTTTCCTGCATACAAAGCTGGATGCAAATTATTGGTATTATGTTATCAAGTTTGAGTAATAGTATTTTATGACCTCACCTAAAGCTCCTTTATAAAAAATAACAATCTCAGGCGTGTCAGGTTACACATGCTTTGTAACATTAATGAGAAAGGGGCTTTAGATATCCCAGCTTACCAACTAGGAGCTCCTTCTGCTGCAGCTTGTTAGGTGAGTCATCAGCATTGATGTAGCCCATAAGCGTGTTCCATATTTCACTCCACAGTCCTTTGGTGTCATCCTTGTAACCACCCTGGATGACAACCTGTTCCTGAAAACTTGCTGGGAGTCTGGCTGCCATCATCATGTCCCTATCTCAGTATCTTGGCTATATTATTTATCAACTTTCTTCAGGATGCATTGTATATTCAATATCATAGTATGACTGCATCCAGCTGCCCATGCAACTGCAAAAAAGAAGACTATCAAATATCAGAACATGGAAGAAAATAGGTCAAATACTTCAGCAAAATACATTAGGTGCATTAACAAAACTGGACATCATATTCACTGAAATAGTGAAAATACATCCTGTTTTTTTTTTAGGGGGGAGGGGGAAGCAGCACCTTCTGCATAACCCTTTTACTGGGTGGCAATGCACATAAAAAAATTGATGATCAAAGATAAATCACTATCATTGAATTACCTAACTCTGGAAATGAAGATTTTCATTTGAAACAGTAGTTTTTCAAATAAGTCAGTGTACTTGAAGAATTTGATTATTGCAGCTCAGTAAACATGAGAAAACTACAGCTATATTTCAAGTGAAGATTGATAAATTATGATCTACCTGGTATGGTCAATGGTGCCTACCTAAACTAGGTAGATGTGATCTGGATAATAATCTAAATATTTAAGTTGTCTTTTTAAATGTTGGTGAAACAGTGATAAAAATATCTGAGCTAGTTACACCATAGGAAACAATGACAGATCCAAGGGTAAACAGCTGCAGAATTGCAAGATCCCCTATTTGCACCACCCAAAATTTTAATTGGTGATCAATGCAAATCCAGTGCATCTAACATTGAGCAAAATGAAGTATGAAATAGCCAAGGTGGAACAATTTGCACATAACTGGAGAACACGCAAATCTTCAATTTCTTAGGAATCATGGGAAGGAACTAAGACATCCAATACTAATTCCATCCTAATTAATAGCTAAAGTGATATCAAATATGTCAAATCTGATTTCTTGCTGTCTGTCAAATACAATTTGTTCATAACACTGACCATTTGAATTTTGAATACCTTGGGGAAGAACCTAGTTCCAAGTCCCTCCAGCACTCAATGGACAACGCATGCTGACAAGGATGGTCTGCTGATGGTGTTCAAAAGTCATAACAAATTGAAATCAGAGGTGAGTTTTGTCAAGTTCAGTGAATGACACTTGACAGGTATGCTACACTTAAACAAAAATCTTCCCACACTCCAAATGGCCTAAAAGGTAATAGAAAAAGGGACCTGCACTGCGCAACATGCTCTGTTCAGTGAGACTGCGGATTAAGACTATTTCAATCTACATTTGCAAAACGATTGGGCTTTATTTGTAAAAACTGTTCCAACTTCAGGTTACCTGAATCCTGGATGAGCATTTTCATGCTCTACGCAGCAATTAATTTCAGAAAATTGAGCACCTGTTGCATGACAAATTATCATATGACTGACAAGCCCATTCCAATTTATGACTTGGCTTGGGCAGAAACCAAATCCATGAACATCTGTGTGATAAAAATAATAAATGCAAATGAAGTAAAGTAGAATGAATGCATTATGAAAATACACCGATGAAATAACGAAAAGTAAATGATTCGGGCCCCCACGCACACCCCCTCTTCCATACACTTTTCTTCGCAAACAAACGATTTGTTACCTATGCAAAAATTATGTGTTCGATTGCAGCATTTCCTGTTTTTCTTCTGTCACTGCCGCAAACAGGATCACTGGAATCTTGTCAAATTCTGGACAAATTCGCTGTACAAATGTGCATGATATGCTACTTATTTTGAATTTCGATTAGTAAAGCTCCAGGTTGTTTGATAACATCCATCACCCCTTATCATCATAGCAAATTTTAAAATCGGAGCCTGTCATCAACAAAATCTAATCGCAGTCAACCGAACAGTCACAAGTGGTTTGCGCTATTTTTGCCGCAGCAATCGGCCTTGATCGCAGTCGTAAGAGCACTATTTCACTGCCAACCGTGCAACAACCATAAAATGCAACTACTACGGGACTCCACACGCAGTAAGCATATAAGCCAGCTCTCTGCTTCCGTTGTTGACCGCTTGGAACAGCATTATAGTTCCGGCATGGAGGAGAGAATACCCGGTTAGCACCTTGGTCTACCAGATATGGTGCTTAACCTTCCAGGCGGTGGGGCCGGGGCATTTTTTTGCCCCCCCTTTAGTTTTTTTCGATATATCTCGAGAACCGCTGCGCCGATCGTCACCAAACTTTCAGTACCCTCCCGGGAGCAGCTAGCGCACATGGTGACCAAAAATTTTCCCAAAGGCTATGATAGGTTGGCCGCTAATGACGTCAGAGTGACGTCATTTTTGCCATTTTCGACCCAAAAAAAAAGTTTCGCGGGAAGAGCTGTCAGGCCTACAGCTTTAGAAATACAGAAAAATGTTTCAGACATAAAAGGTGTGGAATCAAAAGGGCTACAAAACTGCTATTTCGGTTTTTCGAATTTTTTGGATTTTGAGTTTTGACCCCCAAAAATAAAAAAATAGATTTTTTGAATATAATAGCCAAAAAATCCAAAAAGTTTTTTGAATTTCGAAAAAACCGGAATATATGTGATAGCCCCTACCGCCTTCTATCTACATACCAAATTTAAGATCGATACCTCTTTTTTTGGCCAAGTTATAGCGAAAAAACTGTTCAAAATTGATGACGTCAATTTTCAAACTCAATTTTTAGCAATTCTAGACCTCGTAGCGCAAAACAAAGACCACCATTAGACTCCCCGTGACGAGCTGCATCGAATCAATACCCATTTTATGCAAAAATATCAACTTTGAAATTTGACCTTTTTTGACCTGACCTTGACCTGACCTCCACCAGAAAGTGACCTAAACCGTACCTGATGGTCTTATAACCAACACCATTGAGTTGGAAATGAAAAACTGGCCATAAAACATGCATCGCATAACCTTAGTAAAGTTGGGCTCATGTGGTGACCCTTGGTGACCTTTGGTGACCTGACCTGGTATGACCAGTGACCTCTAATAGCAACATATGTACTAGACAACTGACGCCTTATCGCTGATTTTCGACAAAATGCGTTTTACTCGGTGTTATAGCGCTTTCCCAAGAAGCCCCGTGAACGGTGAAACATTTTATCTTTGACCTGACCTGTGACGTCATCGGTGACCCGGAGGTCAATGAAATTTGGTTTCCCTCCACAAATTTGACAGGGCTATCGAACGCCGTTTGAATTTTCCGGATCCGTCCAGTAGTTTCGGAGATACGGGGGGGGGGCAAAAAAGTGCCCCCCCCCCCCCACCGCGCGGAAGGTGGCTGGTAGGCCCACCGCCTGCCGGGTTAACCAATCAACCAGCTTCCGGTGACCCGAGATGACCAGTTCAACGTAAATCGTAATCTCATTTCGCGACCATTCTATACCTAAGTTCTGCAATTACCGGCCTGATCGCAGCGGCAGTGAAAGTCATTCGATTTGCCAGGCTACATTTCGATAGCAGCTCGTAAATTGGCTTGATGTGACCTCAGGACTCAGAGGCCAAGTAAGGTCAAATTCAGGTTTTCCTCTACATATTGCCGTCGCACTACCTCACAAGTCAACTCAGCAGCTGCTGGGAGGATTGCAATCAATGTGGCTGCTGCCTGCGGGCACCAATCAACCGGCTTTACCTATATGGTTTCATCTAGAGGGTGACCTTGCTTGACCTGGGTGAGGTTGAGAGGTGATCGACATTCGACCTCTAGACGACGTGTATTGCAGCTACCCTGAACTACATATACCAGATAACGCTGCATTACCTGACCGAATGCCGAATGCGATCAACGACATTTGATCCTCATCCTCCCCATACTAGTTTGCCAGAGCAGAGTCGCTCAGAGGCAGGTGAACTCTTACTCGTGCATCAGCATCGCCTAGGATTCGTTGACCTTCAAGGGTCGGAAGGACGATTTTGCCGGCACTGTGCCTATTCACCGCTCTAGTCCCTACAAATGTCTATGGGCGATTACGAGCAGAGATGTTCTAATAATAGATGACTGATTTAATATGATAATAGATGACCGAATAATGATCCTTGTAGTTTTCCCGAAACGCCCCTTAGCCAATTCATAGAAAATGACAGAAACGCTCCAACGCAACGCAGTTCATACATCGCTTGGCATAAAAGCAAATGCACGCGAGAATTTCGTATGTATTTGATGAGTCACTGCAGGTGAAGAGGAGAGCATTACTATGAGTACCGTCGTTCTCCTTCCTTTCAAATATAAACACTCACTGAAGATTTCTTCACCACTAGCAGTGCCTAATGCAAAGAACGTGCTAAACACACTTGGTCCCTGGCCCTCCATTTGATCTTGTGTTGCACAGCTGCCTGACATGTCTACCAGTTTGAGGAGTGAAGCCCGGTTGAGATTCACAAAGTATGTACGTGTCCACTGGCCAGTGAACCATAGCGAGCCACTGCAGGTCGAATGCTAAAACTGCGGGCGCACCTCCGCCATAACACTGGCCAGAAAAGAAATGCAAAACCACGAGACCACAAGGCGCGGAGGCGATCGCACCGGTCTTTTATCTCCTCCGCCGATCAGCCTTCGGAAGAACGACGCCGGCCTCTCAGAACTCCAAGAGCCGATATCTCTCAGAGGCGAGGGATATGCATAATTCATCTGCGCGGCGCCGGGTGCCGACGGACGGACGGTAATCCCTTGACGACCTTGGAGCCCGGTGCCAGAAGCCGGCGGTGCCAGTGGCTCACTGGCGGCGCGGGTCGGCGATGTAGGCGGTGAACAGCGGCTGGGTCAGCTCTTCGTGCACCAGAGAGCAGATGAAGGGCCGGTCGAAGCGCATCATCACCTCCACGGGCATGGCGCTCAGCGGGATGAAGGAGACGCCGGCGGCTCCGGCGGCCGAGGTGCCGTGCTCGTCCGCCTGGATGACGGCCTTGTGCACCAGCTGGTCCACCTTGAGCGTGTCCTGCGGGCCGAGACCGCCCTGGAACATCTCCCGAAGACCCATCAGCTCCATGAACTGCACGTACGAGTCCAGCTTCGAGACGAGATCAAACTTTGGCATCCGCACCTGCGTGTAGCGCACCGGAGCCTTGGCGAGCTCCAGGTAGTGCCGCCGATAGAGCAGCGGCCGAATGTCGCCGCCGTCCTTGGCTTTGAAGCAGTAGAGGCGGATGGCTGGGTCCTCGTACGGCATGGAGACTCCCTGGACGCCATCGTCTGCGTCCAGGAAGGGCATGCGGTCCTCGTTGATCAGGGTTGGCACAGTGATGGTGTTACGCCGGCCGTCGGCCGCGAACTTGTCATCTACCGCCGTCAGACGGGTCACCCACTTGTCCTGGAACACCAGCGTTGACGCGAACACCAGCTTCGTGCTTACAGGTAGAGAGGCGAATAGGTCCCGAATCTTGCCGGCGGTGGCGCGCTCCACGTCTGCGTTGATCCTGTCTTTCGTGCGCGGGTCCCTGAAGTTGACCGGCTCGGCTCGGTTGCGCAGCAGCGCCGCGATGGAGGCGCACTGGTCGCGCTTGGTGCGCACCGGACACTGGTCGAAGGCGCCCGTCTGGTAGTAGCCCGTCAGGGTGCCGTTGAGCGTCGGCAGCAGGTCGGCCGCGTCGAGCAGCGCCTCACTCAGCGCCTTGGGGTCCCTCGAACCCAGCGCATCGCGGATCTCCCGCTGGATGAGATCGTTGCCGATCTGGTAGGCGGCGCTGACCACCTGGAACAGACAATAGGTGCAGACCACCTCGTTGTCGCCTCTGCTGAAGGCCTCCAGGATGACGCGGTCGTTGAGCCGGTGCAGCGCCGGGTTATCGGCAATGATCTGCCTCTGGCGGTTGCCGGCCGCCAGCAGCGGCAGCAGCAGCAGCAGCACGGTGCTCGCCGGACGGGACATGGCGGTCGACTGTGGCGGGCGCCGGCCTCGCGCGCACCGGCCCGCCGAGCGCCGCCCCGGGCCACCGCTCAGCCAGCCGGGATTTCCGGCAGATGATTCGGCCACTGGCTCCCAGCCGGCTGACCCGGGCGGGGCGGCCCCGTGGAACCGAGCCGAGCCACCCCTCTCCCCCACCGAGAACAATTAGCAATGCTGCTGGTGGCCTTTACCTGGTGGGCGTGTATATTGTCCAGGCAGTGGTTTGCAGCGGTGCACTTTTCGTAGCGTTACGGTCTTTTCATGTAATTAAAGTGGTTTCCCCGAGCTTCAACCGTCTAAAATAAACTTATAAGATTGACTGGTAAACAACAGTGGTAGCCACCATCTATCATTTTATCCCGGGAGTGAGCTAAACCCAAGTTGATGGGTGTACGTTTAAACGATGGATAGGTAATGGGAAGGTATGTAATATATAGTTAAGAAAAGACGTTTCGAGGCTGGCAGTGCCCCGGGCAAGTAACTTTCTGGTTTCTTCGATAAAGGGGAAGTAGCTACCAGATGTTATATGCCATTAAATGTGTCACATGGTGTTAAGTTGTGAGCAACGTCTCAGCCCTTAGGACGGTAGTAGGTATCAAGCATGTAAATGTTTGACCATTCAAAATGTCGAATTCCGGTTTCATCAGAGTGGTACGCTGTCCGGAGTTCCCCAAATAAACGAACCGATACTGTTTGGCCATGTTTTCCCCGCTGCGTTGCGGCTCGCGTCGCCACGAGCTGGCGATTCTCCCTGGAAGGCTGGCGTGTGTCCTGACGTCAGGGAAATTCCGGCGGCAGACCGGCTGGCTGGTCGGCCGGACCGACGGTGGCGGGGCGCCGCGGCGCGCCAGTTGATCGCCATGTCTCGTGAGGGGAACAGTGCGCCGGTGCTGGGCCCGCTGCTGCTGCTGGCCGCCGCAGGCACCGCCGCCGCGCTGGGGGCCACCGCGGACGTCCCCGCGCTGCACCGACTAAACGACCGTGTCATCGCGTCGGCCTTCACCGGCGTCAACGAGGTGGTCTGCACCTACTGCCTGTTCCAGGTAGTGAGCGCCGCCTACCAGGTTGGAAATCCTGTCGTTCGCAAAGAGATTGAAGACGCGCTCGGACACGGCGACCCCAGGGCGCTGAGCGAGGCGCTGCTGGACGCGGCCGACCGGCTGCCGACGCTAAACGGCACGCTGACGGGCTACTACCAGACGGGCGCCTTCGACCAGTGTCCAATGCGCACCAAGCGCGACCAGTGCGCCTCCATCGCGGCGCTGCTCGACAAGCGAGGCGAGTCTGTCGACTTCAAAGACCCCCAGACGACGGACAGGATCAACGCGGCCGTAGAGCGCGCCACCGCCGGGAAGATCCGGGACCTGTTCGCCTTCCTGCCGTCGAGCACAAAGCTGGTGTTTGCGTCCACGCTGGTGTTCCAGGACAAGTGGCTGTCGCGGTTGACCACCGTGAAGGACCGCTTCCTGCTGACCAGGGATAGGACCACCGTCAAGGTGCCCACCCTGATCAACGAGGACCACATGCCATTCCTAGACTCGGACGACGGCGTCCAGGGAGTCTCGATGCCCTACGAGCATCCCGCTATCCGCCTCTTCTGCTTCAAGGCACGGGAAGAGAGCGCCGACATTCGGTTCCTCCTCTACCAGAGGCATTACCTCGAAATGTCCAACGCCACCAAGCGTCTCGTCCAGGTCCGTATGCCCAAGTTCGACCTCGTCTCCAAGAAGTACAGCTACATCGACTTGATGCAGCAGATGGGGATGGAGACCATGTTCCGTAACGGTCTCGGTCCCCAGGACTCGCTCAAGGTGGACCAGCTGGTGCACAAGGCCGTCATCCAGGCCGACGAGCACGGCACCTCGGCCGCGGGAGCCGCCGGCATTGCCATCGTGCCGACCAGTCTGGGGCCGCGGCCCACTCTTCTGCGGTTCGACCGGCCCTTCATTTGCTCACTGGTGCACCAGGAGCTGAACCAGCCGCTCTTCACTGCCTACATATTCGACCCGCGCAGTAACTGAGAGCGACGGCACCGTCTGCCACTGGACACTGGACAGAGCTGGCAGGGACGGTGGTGGCATCGTTACAAGGCAATGGACACGTCCTTGGGCCTTGAAATGGTCCGTGATTGTGAATGCCTTAGTCCTAGACCCTAGTATGCATTCGGGTTTTAGAATAGATTTCAAGGTGGTGATATATAATTTCATAGGCCGTTGATATCGATGCCTTCACAGATAAATATACGGCCGCCCACGTTCGTGTAATTCTAGGTTGTAGGTATCATCTTGGCGTTAGCGTTTTAAGTAACGTGGAAGAAGGTACTGTGCTGTGATCCGCATCTGTGCCATTGTTTCCAAGATGTAGAACCTGTAACTGCATAACGAACAATACAATATTATTCCATCACGATATGCTTTATTGCTGCAAAGGAGACCGGTTGTGGCCAGAACTGGAGCACTTTAAATTCCCAAACGTCGTGTTGTGAGGCACGCACACCCGTCAGTGGAAGACGGTAAGACAAAACATCGGGTCGCTACGGGGGAAGAGGGGGGAGGCAACACCTGTCAATTGTCGACGAAGAAAACCCTTATTTACACCTGTGGTAATTTTCTGGCAAATTATCAGTCATAGCTACGAAGTCAGACACGTCGTCACTTTGTATAAATGAAATAAATTCAAAGATGAACCCTACCGCCGGAACGATCCCGGTGCCATCGAGTGACAGTGCCCACCGGATCGGGATCTTTTCGTTCGGCTGAGACTTGGGGCAGGCTTTCAGATTGAAGGCATCCGTGGTTCTCACGGTAAGCACGAATCGAGCGAGGGCCGAGAAATGAAACTGAAAGTCAATCAATAAGTTTCGGATGCGCTTCTAAAACAAAATGAACGAAGCAATAAAAACCGCAAAAGGCAAATCGTTCCAACCAAACAGGACGCGTGATTGGAGGAGCGCTGAGTGCAGACATCAAGGTCGACCCACCTCTGCAAACAACGACTGGATTAGATCACGGCGGCTGCAGACTCTGGATTTACCGGCAAAGGAAGGGCCAAACGATGCCCGAAGCGCGGCAGCCCAGAAACCCCGCGCGAGCGGCGGGTTTTCTAACCGCCAGTATGTGAGCGTTATATAACCTCCGATTAGATGGGGGAGGCACCGTCCTCCCTTCTCATACTTCTCTATTTCCATGGTCTCTGGACCCACGCCTCTGTTTGCTGTAGATATTACTCACTTTTTTGGGTTTCCCACCACCCAGCGCTCATACAATAGCGATCAGAGTCCCCTACCCCTTCGGACCTGGGTCCCATATTCTACGAGGCCGAATTGCGAAGTCTGATTAGTGAATGCCATAGTCAATGGACGACGGACGTGTCCGGGAAGTCAGTCATTCTCTAGCAACCCACCGATTCCACTCACTGAAAGCTTCTGATTGATGTCAACCCTTCCGTACTACACTACTACATACACATGCATAGGCATATACATAATGGAAACACAGCCTGTTCGGTTTTGGCAGCCTGACACGATAGCCATGTATGTGCACTGCAGAAGAGGAAACTTATTGTCCGCCGGCTCCCGTCTGAGTGAAGTCGTGATCGAATCCAATCATCCGCACTGGCTGTTCACGACTGGAACCTGACCGAACCGGTTCTGAACCGGTCTCAAAATCCCCACACTTTGTGGCGTGCACCGGCGACCATTGAGAGCATAGCAAGCGTCTGGAGCTTCGAAACTGTTCCCAATGACCATCACAAGCCTTTAGGGGCCGTCAATGAAGACCAATAAATGTAAAATATAGAGCGGCGCATCCTGCAAACGAAAACGGCAAGTCATTCTACACCTACCCACGTAATTGATCGGAACAGTGACCCGACACAGACACTGGGTGGGGCCGGCTGAGGATATAGGAGGCTGGGGACCAGTTCTGATCAGGCCTGGGCCGCCATACAGCGTAGCCACCGTCACCAAACTCACTGCTGGTTGCGCAGGTCGAAAGAATAAACAGATGAGACACGCTCAAAAGCCCGACTACCGCACCACGCAGGGGGCAAATATCCCAGCGCAGTATCACAGTTCAGCGAAAACGAACCACCATTCGAGTCTCGATGACAGCACCTGACGAATCCCAGTAATAGGCCGACCTATGCCGTCACCGTTCCGCAGTGGAAAGCCCCGGCTCGCTACCGTCAAAACAGGCGGCAGTGTGCGCGGGTGACGACCCAGTGACCTTCAGCCCACCGGTGCGACGGGGTAATACCGTGTTCCACCGCTTTGTGCGCAAATACAAAGAACCGTGCACATTGTTCGCATTAGGCCGGATTTCGGAGGAGGGTGAGAATGGGAAGTTTTCCGTCGCTCGGCTGCACACCAAACCAGCTGAGTGGCGCTGACTGGCGCCTTCGCCAACAGACCGTGGGATGGAGAAGCAGGATGACTGCCGACACTCAGTCTCAAGGTCTGGCCGAATCCAGGCACTGCAGGCTCCCGTCCATTCAGCCACTGAATGCGCACATACCCGGAAGGTTAGGGAACACACGTCTGACCATAGGGAAAACTGAAGACGGGTAGAATACGGCCTTCGTCTTGCCATGGTTGAAGTAGTCCCGTAGTGACAGGCCGGGTATAGTGTCACGGCGTCCCTCGGATGCGTCAGCCGACGACGAGGCGAAGCGGTCCAAGCAGGAGAACGGCCACAACGGCGTCAACGGCCAGGCGGCGCCCCTGATATGCGTCCGCTAAAATAAAGTGCTGTGTAAACTGTAATATGCATATTATATATACGACAATACACCAGTTTTCAATCTTCGTCCCGTAGTTGGTAATCCATGGCCTCACAGTACTCGACGGGAAGGCGCAGTATCAAAATATGCACACTGGCTGATAATGTTACATAAGCATATACACCACACATATGCAGAGTCTGGAGCTATGATCACTTCGCAAACATGAAACGATGAGAAAAGCAATCGGCCTCACGTTAATTTCCTATGGAATTTTCAATAATATGCCGGAAGGCAAGGCGTTGATCTGATGTAACATAAAACTTAGTTAAGACCTGTAATATCAGCGGCTCCTGTATCAGCTAACACAATATGGCACTCTTTACCAAATGAAATGTCGGGTGTGTCGTTTAAATATAATAATGTATTGCAACTAGGCACTTTGGGCCAACGCGTTAACTGGGAAAGGAAGCCACACTCACACAGCATATATAACACATTTTTGCACCGATAACTGGCCGTCTCACTGACCGTCACAGTTCTCACGACCCGGCCCGGCAGTTTTGGTGGCCGTTCACCCGGGCTGAGCCGGGGCGGGGCAGACGGCGCTGACCGCTCACCCGTGACCACATAAACGGGACAGTCTCATCGCAGAGAAGTGACAAAGCTACGAATCCGGACATACGGTCATCAGAATACAGACCATTAACGATTCACAAAAATTATCGCCCCATCATGCATCAACAATTAAAACAGTGTTATCTGTACTGAATTTTTCCCGGGCGTAAGTTTGTCGATTTTGCTGCATGAGACAGGCCCTACTACGATTATGTGCACTCCTCGGTCATTGCCGGCCTCATAACAATAACTGGCAGTCTGGAAGTCTCTCGAATTTGTCACACTCACCGCTGCGGAGGCCGCTCTCGTCTGGTCCTGGGCGCGGTGTCCGCACTGCGTAGGGCTGCCTCGACTGCGCCACTACGCTGATGGTGTTCGGCGCAGCACGGGCAGTCAGCACGCCGGCAGAATAGGTCCGACACGTAGCCCGCAGATGGTATACCGCAGCTGAGGCGCCCGCAGCTCTCATTAGGAATAGGGCGCGGCAAGGTCTCGCTACCACGGTGGGCCATACCAGCCAGGTGACCGCTCTGGCGCCGCGGCGCAGTACACAATTCACAGATAGTCTCGCTCTGGCAGCTTCCGCCTCACACAAGCACACGTTAATTTACACTCAGACGCTCGCTCACGCATTACACGCACACAGAGCTAGCTCATTGTCGCCAACAGCTATCTCGAATAGTGTCAACAGTTTGTAAACAAATGCTAGATTACAACAGGTTGCGAGACACGGCAGCGGCAGCGGTTGTGCCAAGGGCATTACTCATTTGATCCGTATAGAAAGCAGTGGATCTACCTGGAAGATTCCCATGATCGCGACAAGGTATCCTGACCTGTCCATTGGAAAGACACAGTTGTAAGGCTGGCCACAGTACATCGCGGAGCTAAACAGAACCGTCCACCGACATCTACGGCTTACAAGCGGGTTATCTTTGGCGCTGAGTGCTGCGTAGGGGAGGAAGTTCATTGTCAGGGATATGATAGAGGGGAGGATTGGTTTAAATAAGTGCACATACGAGAGGCCGAGGGGTGGGATAACCGATGCGAATCGGCCAGAAAGGATATACTGTTTCAGGATTAAACATCGACGGCGAATCTGAACATCCGTCAAAGGAACCGAATAACATAGCCTAGGGACGGGACGTTGCGTCTGTCGAATATAAGACCGACCGACTGTCTGAATATAAGACCGTCTCTCTGTGCCCGACTGACTGACTGGCAGGTGAGGTCTCTAGGGCGGCGTGGGGGAGCGGCTGGCCGACTCGGCAGAGCCCTGACGACAGAACACGGCGGTCTGACGCGGGCGCGCAGAGAACTCCTCCGGGTCGAACACCTGGGGGGAGAGGGACGGGGGTAGTGTCACAGATCTACCGAATGAAAAACAAGATGACACAGGTTGATAGGTGACATTGAAAAGCCAACTACCCCTAGAAAATCTGATCTGACAAGATAAACATCACGCGTATGTCGATGCGAATGCCAGTTACACGCAAACATATTGTTTGGAAAGCAGTTAAATCGCATGTACTACTTCGGCCGGTGCTCTCGTTAAAAAAAAAAAACTTTTTCCTTTTTTTGGCGGGGGGGGGGAGGCAGAAGTTCCATAAATGTTGAACGTAAAGCAGTTACAGGCTCCTTCATTTGCTTGTTTCTGAATGCTGCGATAACATACTTATAGCCGTCAACAAAGAAGAATCCAGTTTTACACTTACACAAGTAAAATTGGAACATGCTCCAACTTCCTTGTCATTACGCGTTAGCAACCAGACAATGAAGCACCACTGTAAATCCTTTCCTCATTCAGTCATGATCGGTAGGTGGTGCGCTCAGCGGCCGACTTCGATAAGCAAACATGCATCACTAAATCCCTGGCAATTGCCAAAATACCGTGATAATGCCTCAAGTTCGCCGACAATCGTTACTCCTCCTATCAACGAGAGGATAAATACGCCGAAGCTGCCAATCGTACAACTCCCAGGCCAGACGACCGTTCCACCATTCCCGACCCACACCCCGCTACCACGGCATGCTCTCCATAGGTCCTCCCTCCTATCCCGGATCGTTCTCACCTTGGCCGACGCTCTGGTGATGGTCGGATGACGCTCCCGGACCTCTGCCCAGCCGCGCGGAGGGTAGCGCGCCACAGCAGAGCGCGAGTACATCAGCAGCTCGGGCCGCGTGTAGCTGCGGGTAGCCGGCTTGGACGAGCCGCGCTCTGAGGTGGGGAGAGACAACGTCAGGTCGTGGTCAGGAGAGGTGGAATGAGTGGCACTGATGCGGAGGGCACGTCCAAAGAATGTACGGATTCGCGAAGGTTGGAGCGACCTGTAAGATAAACACGAATACCAGCTGCAGCAGAGGTGTGTGGATGACAAAATAGTGTCACACCCACTAACAAATGCCGGTTTGAGCACATTTCACAGATATACACAAGGTACGCCGCCTGCGGAACCCACGTTCACTACAATCGGTAGCAAATCGCCGGCCGACGATCACACCCCCACCCTCCCTCTGCCTCCAGCCCACAGCACTGACCAGCGTTGGCCGTGTTAGCCGGTCCGGCGGAGGGCGCGGCGGTGGGCACCTCGGCCGTGGCGCTGGCGGCCACCGGCAGCCGCCGGCTATAGATGGTGGTGGTGCGCCGCGGCTCGGGCTGGGCCGGCGCCTTCTCCTGGGGCTGGGACTGGGTGGTGACTGGCGGCTCGGGCTGGCGCAGACTCAGCAGCGACGGAGGCTGGGAGGGCGGTCCGGACGGTGGAGTGGTGACCACACAGGCCTCAGCGGCGATCAGCTCCGTCGGCGAGGGACAGTCGCGCACCTGGCTGTCACCGGCGCTGGAGCACGCAGAGAATACGGTCAGAGAGGGATCCAGAGTGGTCTAGAGAGCACTGTGCAGACTGCCTCAGAGGAGAAAACGGAGAATATCAGCGCTGTACCGACAACCAGCCGTTACCGGCCCCTAACATGATGTCAGTCCAATTCACTGCGACATGAGCCGACCGGGAAGCACATAAAGCAGCATGGTTCGACCAGCTATTCCGGAACAATCCCTCCGAATCCCTCCGAAACACTGTCATTGAAGTCCTTGGCATTCATTGCCCGTTCTCAGTCCTCACCCGAGCAGGTTGGGGTCAGCCTCGGGCACCGTGTCCAGACCACAGGCGTCCGGGTCGCAGGACAGCGCAGAGTTAAAGTACTCGTCCAGCACCAGCTTGGCCGTCTGGAGACACATAATGTCGGAATAGTCAGAATATGTGCCGTCAGAACACTCACACAGAAACCGAACTCTGGGCTAAGCGAAAGCAAATCAGATGGGCGAAGCATTTTCATCGAACACTTTCAGCGTTTTAAAATGAGTCGATACCACCGCGGTCGGTCATTTTGAGCCCATGCAACCTCTACATTCGCACTGAGACAAAACAAGACGTAGCTTTAGGGCTAAATTAGGGCTAAAACAGCAGCCCCAGTTTGTCTTGCGTGCCTGTCTGAGAGAACCTAGACTTACGTTAACAATGTCCACATTTTTGCCGGTGAGTTTGATGGTGTGCTCTCCCACAAACACCGTGTACTTGAACTCGCCCAGCGAGCCGAAGTCGTTCGATCCATTCTTCCTCGGACCTGGAACCGATATTCTTCCGTGATCGCCAAGAAGATGAATCAGGACATGGAGCTCCAATTTGGGCATAACATTGTGCTGTCTTCCGCCGAATATTGTAAGAAACTCGGGATAATACAGATGCAAAAATATCAGCTACGAACCTTTCGACATACACAATATGACACGATACAGGATATGACAAATGATAACAAATTTATCCCCAACACCTTCAAACAAAGCATTCAGATTACCACAGTTCATTGAACCACCGTTCCCGCTGTAACCGGTGCGTCCCTTACCACCGTTCTCGTCCGAGTTGGCGCTGTTGAGGCTTCCAGTCGACTCGCCAGCCGTTAGCGAGTAGGTGGAGCCACGCTCGTCGCGCGCCGGGGACGCGTTCCGTCGAATCACCTCCTCAATCAGCTCACGGGCCCGGCTGTGGCGGAGATGGGGAAACGGCGATGTAAGCCAGTGAGGTCCGTGACGGGCACACAGGTAGAGAGCGCAGATTTCTGTGATAAATATATCACACTGCAGCAGCTTGCGTCATGTGCGCAGGTTCATTTAGCTGACACGCTTCTCACAAACAAAATATCGCATAAAAAGTTGAAGGGATATTACCTGTCGATACCCCGTGAACGTAGAACCACTCTGAGACCATAACGGATGAGAGTACCTACTTCCACGTCCTAGAATGTTCCTATACGCCATTAAAGATCGGTCCTGATGATTCAGGTCAGTCAGGAAGTGAGTCAGAGACTCGGGTCTGCCCCAGCGACTTACAGGACGTTCTCCTCTGCCGGCCCGGTGATCTGGACCAGTCGCTCCTTGGCTCCGGCGGCCACTGCCAACGGACACAGATACAGTCAGAGACGGGGAGAGCTCATACTGGCAGCGGAGTGTCCCTGACCAACCGGACGGGACGCACACTGAGGTTTGAGGGCTAGCCGACGACCTGTATAACGCAAGAAATGGGGCGGAAGGGGTAGCTTTGGTTGATTTTTTTTTGCGCTGCAGGATGGATAATGTTTGAGGCTGCTTGTCGGATATAAACCGCATGCTCCCTCTTTCTAAAAGTGTAGCTTCATGATTCCTTATTGGACATGCAAATAAGATCACATATATTAACGTCTTAACGATTCCAAAACAAATTTGCGCACAAAATTGTGCAGCACAAAATTCACAGAGCAGTAACAAATTCAAATAACTGAAACATAATCCGCAACACCAGAAGAACTTTAAGGTAAAACAAATTGGATATACCGCAGAGGGATTTTAGCACAGCAACTATTGTTCAGTGTTCATGCTTCTCTTAGCAATGTTTCAACTAGCACGTGCGTAAAATTTGTCAAGCGAGCATACATAAGGCAAAGCACTATGCAATCCAGCACAACTGATGCAACGTTTCAGGCTTTTTGAATCAGTCAACAACACAAGCTCACAAATACACCATTGTGCAGCAGGTGCAGGCACATACCCAGAATATATTGTGTAAATACAAAAGCAAAGCCCATGCGACGACACGCAATTTGTCAACGAACAGTGTCAGAAGCGCAAGAGTACAAATAGTGCAACTACACGTAGTTAGCCACATGCGGGCGACAGCATTTACTTTCGTCAGGTGTGAATGATAAGCAAAAGGCGTGTAGCACATGAAATTTAAGCTGTTAATCAGCATCTGTAGATTACAAATTAATAGATGTAAATTATCACATTTTAGCATGGCAGGAAAAGAAGTTGCTTTAGGAAAACAGATGAATCAGTGTCAGCTAGTACAGTCCGCTGAAAGATTCAATTACCAACGTGAGTGAAATACGTGCTACGAAACGCGTGGACGGCACGCTGGGACCTCAGTCCATTCTGTGTTAGCGTATATACTCAATGATTTAGTGAGTCACCAGTGACATTAACTCGTCGACAGGTGGCGACGATTGGAGAGAGAGAGAGAGAGCGAGTGAGCGAGGACAGAGGGAGGGAGAGAGGGGCAGCGGCCGGTCGTCCCGGTGCTGGCCGCCCAGTTAGTCGAGCTCTACAACAGGCGGCGGCACGCGGCGCGCGCGGCGCAGTTACCTCGCTGGAACGAGATCACTGTTTGGCTCATCTCCTCTATCTTATGAACCCGAATGCCCTTCATGCCCATCACTGGAAGAAGGGCGCAGTCGGGTCAGCGGGCGGCAGGATCGCGGGTCGGAGGTCGGCGGCGGCAATATCCCAGCTAAACACCGACGGTAGACGGGGAAGGGTCACTTTTCGCATTATGAGCCCGGCACTTCAACTGCAAGTAAACGGAGGGTTGGAAGAAATACCTCTAAATACCGTGTACAATACATGGTATAGGGTTGGAATAATATACACGAACTGGTTGTTGTTAAACGAGAAATACCCCTTTCCGTCGACCGTCGGCGTTACTTTCAACATCCCCCAACCGTGACTTCCCGACTTTGACCCAACCATGTACAACATGCCAAAACGTAGCTAAACAAGAGGACGGACAGGCAGCCCCAGCACCGCGGCACATCAAAGCGTTCCAAAAAAAAAAAATCATGAAAGAACTTAGAAAAATGACAAATAGAATCGCTTCGGTATCAAAACACTAAAACAACAACAACCATGAATGCAACATGTCACGGCACAGCGGGGCACCCCGGCCCATTAGCCACCCATCCATCGGACATTTAAATAAAAACGTTAACTAATTGCATGAAACAACAGAAATGGGCAAAAATATTTTTGCATTTTATACAAAAAATATGTGATAAGCTCGTAAGCCAAGGGTAAAAAGCGCCAAGTAAATGATGGTCCACATTCTAGAAATAATGATTGATTGCGTGACTTTTAAAAAATACAAAAATATAGAACACAGCCTCACAATCAAGCTCTCCGTCCACCCAAGCAGCGCACCTTTTCCGGAGTCGCAGTTTCGGATGACCACCTCGTCCTTGTACTTGCCCTGGATCTTGGTCGGCTTGGGGTACTTGCCCGAGCCGCGGATCACCTCCCCCGGAGTGAGCAGCGGTGGTAGCTGCGGGGGCTCGGCCAGCGTCGGCGACAGCGGGCTGGAGGCCGGCGGCGCCTCGCACAGCGGCGACGCCGCCACCGCCGCCGGCTGACTCTGTGAGAGGACAGGAGCGAAGGTAAGCGATTGTAGGGACCATGAACAGCGAAAACACGGGAAGGTGGCATCGCGGAGGGAGATCGGGAGGGAAGTGATTTAACTTGGCAAGTTACACAATACACTTCTTAGACATATTTTATGCGGTACTTTTACTGCAAGACACCAATGATTGAGCAACAACGAAGCCAAGCAGGATGAACAGACAATTCATTCACGGTCATAAAGCCTGTTATCCACGAGACACTCTGAAAATCCCACTCAACGCAACCTCATCTCCAAACTCGCCCTTCTATTATCACCCACTCTCATCATCCCCAGCTGCGTCCCGCCCAGTCACCCTGTCTGACCTCGATGAGCTGCAGCATCTGGCGGTAGTAGTTGGTGACGTTCTCGTTGCACGACCAGGGCGTGTGCTGCGCGCGCAGCTCCACCAGCTCCAACAGGCGCACACGAGACGCCCGGTCCAGCCGGTCGTCCCGGCACCCGTTCCGCAGGTGCACAAAACGCTTATCGAGCTCGTCTGCGGCAGGTCAGCATCGTTGACTGTTTGAAAAATTAGAAGGAACATATTTATAGTTCTGATTTGAAAGTTTAATATGATCGAAATTTAATTCTTGAACGCCTTTCCCAATGAAAATCTAACGAAGTTCACGAGTAACGACAACATTCATACAATTAACCGATAAAAAACGATCTTACATATTTATATGTCATGGACTTTATCCAGGACCGATCTCCACACTTTCAAAAAACGCTTCCCACCAAGACAATCGCCATGAACTGAGCAGAGCACAGCCTCGGTACCTTTACAGATGCCCTCCAGCTGGTGTCCCATCATCTTCATGTGGAACGACAGGCTGGTGATGGCCGAGCTGGTGGCTGACGTGAAGGTCTCGCTGGCGATCATACGGCACACCTTCTCCAGGTCGGCCAGCACATCGTCCACTGGGCGGCACCGGGACACAAACGGCACGAGTCGGTCAGCACGTAGTGTCAGTCATAGCCTCGGTAGCAAATGGCTGCCAGAAGGCCAACAGCCGACTCTTCGGTGAACGATGGGCACTCAAACTACGGACATACATGAGACATCCGGAAAGAATCGCCTTGAAAAAAGGTGAAATTAATCCACTCCATTGGTTATAAAATTAACAGCCATGGGTTTCACTAGCTGGCATCATTATACAATATGATCATAATTGGGACACAAGACTATGAAGCATTGAGAACATTGAATACTTCCATCGATTTTGACGGCACACATGCCAATTTGCTACGAAGCAGGCCGACTACTAGATGGGATCAATCCAACTGCAAGAAGGCTTCATATGCATCGTCATCCGGAAGTTAAAACAAGTTGCTGAGGCATTTCTACCAAACTTGTTTAGTCGACGCTTAACCCGCGCCCCACTGGGGGGGGGGGGGCTATTTAATAAATTAAAAAAAAAACGGGAGGGGGGGGGGCTATAAATAGTATTTATAGCCCCCCCTCCCGTTTTTCTGCAATAACTTCCAAACCGCTTGACGTATCGACGCCAAACTTTCAGTACCCTAGGCTGCATCAATTTGACACCTTGTGTCAAAATTTGAACTTCGTACCTACTATAGGTCGGCCGGAAATGACGTCAGAGTGACGTCATGTTCGGCCGATTTCGACGCAAAACATTGAACCACGGCAATCGCTCCCAAGAGCTCAGTTTTTAGGCTAGATCCAATTTCTTTGCATGAGAGGACTCAGAATAGACTGCGCTATCAAACTGCTATCTCGGATTTTCGAAATTTTGAGAATTTTGAAAATTTGATAAAATAATATCCAAAATTTATATTTTTACATTTTTTTCAAAAAGTTTTTGACTTTTCGAAAAAACCGGAATATATGTGATAGAACGCATTATTATGACTAACTCTAGCAAGTTTTAGCTAAATATCTTCAAAAATGGCCAAGTTTTACGCATTATTGCAAAAAATTCACAATTATTAATTTTTCAAATCAATTTACAGCACGTATTTGACATCGTACGCCAATATAAATAGCACCATCGTGTTCCTGATCTCAAGCTGCATCCAATAGACACCTTTTTTATTGAAAAATTTTAACTTCAAAATTTGACCTTTTTTGACCTGAAAGTGACCTAACATAAGCTAAAGTCGACTCAAAATGACCTCGAATGACACAGACGACATCAAATTCGAAATCTCTGACCTAAATGGACCATAAAACATGTGTCACGTGACCGACGCATGATAAAATATTTTCATGACCTGTGATGACCTGACCTTGACCTGAAAATCAAAGTACAAGTCTGGTACCCTCAGGGTAACTAGAGCATCTATTCCCGAGTGTGTGATCCAAAAATGAGCCTGATCTGACTTGTAAGACGGCGGCCAGAGCCCAAAACGTGAACAAGCCAAAATGCTAATAATTTTTACTTTGACCTGACCTGTGACGTCATCGGTGACCTCGAGGTCAATGAAATTAGGTTTCGCTCGACAGTTTTTCCGGGGCTATCAGACGCCGTTTGAATTTTGACGATCGGCCCAGTAGTTTCGGAGTTAGGAGGGGGGGGGGCTATGAATAGCCCCCCCCCCCCCCAGTAGGGCGTGTTATACGCAGACCCCAGGGGGGCGCGGGTTAAAACCCGCGCCCCGTAGGGCTACCGGCGGACCCTACCACCCGTAGGGGGGGGGGGCCGTTTCGGCCCCCCCTAAGATCTCGGAAAGTTACCGGCCGATTTTCAAAATTCAAACGGCGTTTGATAGCCCTACCCGGGAACTACCTTGTGACCAAATTTCATTGACCTAGGTCAAACCGATGACGTCACAGGTCAGGTCAAAGGTCAGATTTTCACCGTTCACAGGCAATTCAAGAAATGTGCTGTGAAATCGAGTAAATTGGTAATTTATTGAAAACCATCGATGGTATATTGTTCGTCAAACACATACTTTGCTATCTGAGGTCACTGATACCAGGTCAGGTCACAGCGAGGTCAGGTCACCGGGGGTCACAATATGAATGTGTCGTGTGATACATGTTTTATGGTCCATTTTACATGACAAATGCGATTATGTGGGTTAGGCAGCCTTTGGGGCCAGCCTAGGTCACGTTTTGGTGAAGGTCAGGTCAAGGTCAGGTCAAATTAGGTCAAATTTCAAAGTTGATATTTTTGCATAAAATGGGTATCCATTCGATGCAGCTCGTCACGGGGAGTCTAATGGTGGTCTTTGTTTTGCTCTACGAGTTCTAGAATTGCCAAAAATTGAGTTTGAAAATTTGACGTCATCATTTTTGAACAGTTTTTTCGCTATAACTTGGCCAAAAAACGAGGTATCGATCTGAAATTTGGTATGTAGATAGAAGACGGTAGGTACTATCACACATATTCCGGTTTTTTCGAAACTCAAAAAACTTTTTGGATTTTTTGGCTAATATATCCAAAAAAATGCTTTTTTGATTTTTGGGGATCAAAACTCAAAAATTTCAAAAATCCGAGATAGCAGTTTTGTAGCCCTGTCAATTCTACACCTTTTATGTCTTGATCATTTTTCTGTATCTTCAAAGCTGTAGGCCTGACAGATCTTCTCGCGAAGGTCTTTTTTCGGTCGAAAATGACAGAACATGACGTCACTCTGACGTCATTTGTGGCCAACCTATCACAGCCTCTGGAAAAAATTTTTGGTCACAATGTGTAAAATTGATGTCCGGAGGGGTCCTGAAAGTTTGGTGGCGATATCTCCAGCCGTTTAGGAGATATCGACCGAAAAGGACAGGGGGGGGGGGCCGTTTCGGCCCCCCCCCCTACGGGGCGCGGGTTTTAACAGATCTTCAGAATGAACTTCTTTCTAAATATGGCCCAGGATCACCTCGATGCACAACTACCAGACGCGTTACGACCACGCACAGTACAAATACCAAAATTGAGGCGATTGAATAAGGTACTTTGGTGACCATAAAGCATCTTTTCTCAGCTAAAAACAACAACTTATACTAAACTTTGAGGATAAAAGTGCGACCTAAACGCAGCCGAATTTAGCGTCTTCATTGGAGCTGTTTCTGGGGCTGTCGTGGGGCTATTTCAAACTCATCATATCACTTTTGATCATACAGGCGCAAGCCACGCACAAATATATACCTACAGTTTCATGTGTATCGCGCAAGTCGGTATCCGTACAGCAATAGCAAAATAAAGGCGGTTGGTGCTATCCGGGGCAAAAATCGCTGATCGATCGGCTGCGCGGTTGCGGAGATGTGCGGCTCTGAAAAACGTGAAAGTTCGGATCCAGTCGCTCACACTGATATTTCTATCGCACGATGCATTGACTCTTTCCTAAAACAGCTACCCGAATCTAACTACAGTGCCATCTAAGCTAACGGGGAAACTTCCGCTATTTTTACGCTAATGAATTATTTTTACATTTTAGCGGGCACATTACGCGACTTCTAATAAACTAGTAATGAAAGAAGGCTAATAAATGTCAATAAATGTGTACATACCTAACTACTACAAAGTAATGGACGCCCCAAACGAAACAATGAAACTACCGAAATAATACAACGAACTCACAAGTGTGTTCCAATGATCCTCGATGACCTGGAAGCAGTCACTGATCATGAGACAGGAAAAAAAACGATCTCAATCCTCAAGCGTTACAAAAGCTGTCAAAACTCACCATCTCAAATCTCAATGCTGTAATGCTATTATGGGGGGCTATTACCGGCTAATTTACTATCTGCCCTGTAAGTACGGTGATCGGTAGCGTACCTATCCCAGTCTGTCCCAGCGGCCAGCCTACCGTATTTTTATTAGCCTATCAGCATTTCAAAATTCAAAGTCACTACTCATGACCCTTACCTCCTTTCCCGACTATTGAAGAGGAACTCGCGGACTTCAGAGGCCGGGGTTTCTCTACCTTCCCCACTCGCATGGACTTGATTGAAGACATGATCCTGAGGAAGGGAAAAAGACGTCAAAAAGAAATTCATACCATATTTGCTACATTAAATTGTAATCCTTCACAAAATATTGCCTTTTCTGCACAAAACCTGAGAGAAAGACCACATGCATCCAAACGGCAAATTCAAAAACAAAGCCAAACAAAGTAAACGCCAGAAAACATTTGTTTATCTTTGTTGCCATGGCAACACGCTCAAACATAGCTGCCATATCTAACGAAATGAGCAGCATATTGAAGGGATTTTGGATTTCCGTCACCTATGTAGAAAAGTAATCTTGACCTCGGCCCCCTTTTATTGAATATGCTTACCGGCGGTCCGGCTGTTGTTTAGTTGTTAACTATGACGTGAGATAGAAAAAGCGGACTATCGGCATAAAAGGTAAAAGCTGCCGTTCACGCATATTTTAACCCTCGCCAGGCCAGGGCTTTTTCATAACGCGGACGACGGGGGGGGGGGGCTGGTACGATCCCCCGGCGATTGGCTGGCACTTGGTGGTTTGGCAAAGGCAGAACTGCCTTGGGCAGAACGCACGCTAACTGCTAGGCACGGCCGGACTCTCACCGTCCGATTCCGGATTGTCAGAGAATTTAGAAGCCAAAATCTAGCGCTGTCACATAATTAGCTGGACATAACATAATACATTCAATCTTCGCCTGCACAACCAGCCCCCGTTCACGAGCTTCAGAATTCCTTTACCGTGACGTCATCACGGCGTAAGAATTTTCCTTCACCCATAGCAATGCATGCAAAGCATGGTGTGTTTCAGGCGGGCTAAGGAGAAATCCAAGCCCTATATGTTTTCAAAAGACGTACCCGGTACCACTCAGCCAATGGATTCGTCTCAATACGATAAATGGGATTGAAATCGAAACATTCGGCCTATATTTATCTAAAATGGGAATCAAATGGTACCTGCAACTCATAATGAAGGATTTCCTCTGCGCTAAAAAATTTGTTTCGAGTGTTTTATCGAGTGAGTAGTAAAGTTCTCGAGTGAGCAGTAAAGTAATCTTGTGCACAACAATCACCCTTGTGGAGGGAGGGGGAGGGGGAAGGGAGGTTGAATGTCGTCCATAAGGTTTTCCACAAAGCGTTAACATTTATGGCAAACCTTCTCATGCATCTTTTCTACTCAGGCTGAAAAATCTGAGTTTGGGTTAACCCGGTTAACCCGCGCCCCGTAGGGCTATCGGCGGATCCTACCGATCCTACCACCCGTAGGGGGGGGGGGCGTTTCGCCCCCCCTAAGATCTCGAAAATTTACCGGCCGATTTTCAAAATTCAAACGGCGTTCGATAGCCCCACCGGGGATACTACCTTGTGACCAAATTTCATTGACCTGGGTCAAACGATGACGTCACAGGTCAGGTCAAAGGTCGGATTTTCACCGTTCACAGGCATTTCAAGATATGTGTTGTGAAATCGAGTAAATTGGTAAGTTATTGAAAAGCATCGATGGTAACTTAATCGTCAAACACATACTTCGCTATCTGAGGTCACTGATAGCAAGTCAGGTCACAGAGGTCAGGTCACTGCACTGGCGGATCCAGGGGGGCCACGGGGCCATGGCCCCCCCCCCCAAGGCCTAAAGTGGCCTGTTTGCCCCCCCCCCCCCAAAAAAAAAACGTAAGAAAAATTGCTAAGAAAATATACCTTGATGGAGGTTTTTAGCCACTTGGTGAAGTAAAGCTTTCCACAGCATAATATGGAAGCAATATGGTAGCAGTTAGGGTCAGTCAAAAGTTGTGCGAGCGGAGTCGACCTTCAAAAAAAGACTTGTTGGCACGTGTTTATGGCGCGGCAGCTGGTAGTTGGCGGTGTTTCGCGTGGTGTGGCATCACTGGCGGATCTGGGGGGGGGGGGGGGCACGGGAGCCTGAGGCGCCCCTGACAGGCCCGTGGTGCCCTTGCTAGGCCTGTGGTGCCCCTGGACCCTGGCAGGCCTGTGGTGCCTCTGGCGGGCCTAGGGTGCCCCTGCTAGGCTGCTGATGCCCCTGGGACCTGACAGGACTGTGGTGCCCCTGACAAGCCTAAAGTGCCCCCAACAGGCCCGTGATGCCCCCGACAGGCCCAAGGTGCCCCTGCGTGATGCCGTGATGCGTGCGAGGCCGGTGGTGCCCCTGCGAGGCCGGTGGGGCCCCTGACAGGCCCATGGTGCCCCTGCGAGGCCGGTGGTGCCCCTGCTAGACCGGTGGTGTCCCTGGCAGGCCTGTGGTGCCCCTGCTAGGCCGCTGGTGCCCCTGGGCCCTGACAGGACTGTGGTACCCCTGACAGGCCCAAGGTGCCCTGCAAGGCCGGTGGTGCCCCTGTAAGGCCTGTGGTACCCCTGCTAGGCCTGTGGTGCCCCTGGCGGACTGGTGGTGCCCCTGCTAGGCCGGTGGTGCCTCTGACAGGCCTGTGGTGCCCCCGGGCACCAAGGGGGGTCATGACCCATGTGGCCCCCATTGGATCTGCCACTGATACACCAGTATAACGCCTTATGGGCGACTAACGGAGCGAGCGAGAGGGTGAGCCTTGCACGTGCGAAATTTCGAGGGGGTACCTCCAGCTGACTTGTGCACGGCACCCTACTAACCGGTCTCTAGCGATGTGCCAAATTTGAGCACAATCGGCCCAGCCGTTCTCGAGATCTGGAATCGGCACCCTGCACGTGCGCACGTGCAAAATGGGTCCCAACTAACTTTTGCACGGCACCCTACGGCCTACTAACCGGCTCCTAACCATGTGCCAACTTTGAGCGCCATCGGTCCAGCCGTTCTCGAGATTTGGAATCGACCCCTGCACGTGCGCACGTGCAGCAGCACCTGGCACATGGATATGCATTGCCTAGTGGGTGCCTACCTACATGCCAACTTTCAGCGCAATCGGCCAAGTAGTTACCGAGATATTGCAACAATTACAAAAGTGACACCTCTTCGTTTTGCACGTGGCACGTGCATAAGGGGTCACCCACATGCATCGGCAATAGTCCAATACTTGGTAGAAGGAATGAAGCTACCCTACAAAAATTACCGCGTGTAAATCGGTCAAGTGGTTGCTGAGATATAAGCCTCGCAAAAGCGTGACCACGGCCGGCCGGCCGGCCGGCCGGCCGGCCGCTCATACTCAGAAATTTCCGTTAATCTAAGGAAAGACTACGCTCGCTTCGCTCGCTCCGTAACCAGTATAACGCCTTTTGGGGCGACTAACGGAGCGAGCGAGAGGGTGGGCCTTGCACGTGCGAAATTGCGAGGGGGTACCTCCAACTGACTTGCGCACAGCACCCTACTAACTGGTCTCTAGCGATGTGCCAAATTTGGGCACAATCGGCCCAGCCGTTCTCGAGATCTGGAAGCGGCACCCTGCACGTGCGCACGTGCAAAATGGGTCCCAACTGACTTGTGCACGGCACCCTACTAACCGGTCCCTAACCGTGTACCAAATTTGAGCGCAATCGGTCCAGCCGTTCCCGAGATCTGGAAACGACCCCTGCACGTGCGCACGTGCAGCAGCACCCCAACTCTGGCACATGTATATGCAGTGCCTAGTGGGTGCCTACCTACATGCCAACTTTCAGCGCAATCGGCCAAGTAGTTACCGAGATATTGCAACAATTACAAAACTGACACCTCTTCGTTTTGCACGTGGCACGTGCATAAGGGGTCACCCACATGCATCGGGAATAGTCCAATACTTGGTAGAAGGAATGAAGCTACCCTACAAAAATTACCGCATGTAAATCGGTCAAGTGGTTGCTGAGATATAAGCCTCGCAAAAGCGTGACCACGGCCGGCCGGCCGGCCGGCCGCTCATACTCAGAAATTTCCGTTAATCTAAGGAAAGACTACGCTCGCTTCGCTCGCTCCGTAATAATATATTGATTTGTTATATATCGCAACATAATATATTGCGTTATGGCTTATGCAATATGCAATTGCAGGCACTTGGTATCCCTCACTTATCCCTCATTGGGGGCTCTGGCGGGCCCCTGAGGGCCCACGTCTATATCCGGGAGCCCTAGTCAGGCTCCTTTGGGTCCTTTCAGCCCACTATAGCATAAGAGGTCTCCATGCGAGTCCTATACATCTGAGGGCGTACCCTGACGTCTGATGTACCAAACTGCAGCTCCAATGGTCTCTTACACTGGCGGATCCAGGGAGAGGGCATTTAGGGCCATGCCCCCTTCCCAGAGGCCTAAAGTGGCCCGTTTGCCCCCTCCCCCAAACGATAATGAAACATAGTTCAATCAGTGCGTGGCCCAGGAGCCGAGTTAGACAGGGGGTGTTTTACCACCTCCCGGCCCGCAAAGGGACCCAAGCACTGACTCGAAGCGGGTTAACTGGTCGACAAAAGCAATGGTAAGTGTTTACAAAGTAATATAAAGGCATGGGTCGGGTGGGCTACCATTTATATATTTTCTTTTTAGTTAAAAAAATATTCATAGTGTCAGGGCTGTGACGAAAAATAAGTGGCCTAAATCCGATGAGAAAACAGGATTTGGGGGTACCCTAGGTTTGGCTCCTGCATGAGTTGGCCCTCCCCCCCCCCCCCCAAAAAAAACGCAAGCCTGGATCCGCCAGTGGGTCACTGCCTCACTGGGAGTCACAACTCACAATATGAAAGTGGCGTGTGATACTGATAGGTACATGTTTTATGGTCCATTTTACATGACAAATGAGATTACGTAGGTCAGGCAGCCTTTAAAGGCCAGCTAAGGTTACGTTTTGGTGAAGGTCAGGTCGAATTAGGTCAAATTTCAAAGTCGATATTTTTGCATAAACTGGGTATCGATTCGATGCAGCTCGTTTTCATGCCGTGAAACAAAGCCGGAACCGTACGTTCCGGGACCACAAATATCGGCAGAGTATTGTGTTCGAGGCTGGCGGGAGCCAGCGAGGGCCGGGCAGCGGAGCATCACGTGCTCCGGCACATCAGCCTCTTCTCGGCTCAAGGTGCAGAGCGCCGCTGGGCACCGCTTGTCAGGGCACTGCTGGCACGCCGCGGAGTGGAGACAGCCGATTCAGTGCCGTACTGGAGCGAGCGGCCCCAGTGGCCCACCCTCATCTGGTGCACCGAAACGGCATCCTCTTGGTCCCTCTCCAGGGATAGGGAGCGGCCGCATGCTCCCGAGGAGTGGCTTGAATAGTGATTCTGAGCAGTTGTGGCGCCATTGATGGGAGGCCGCACAATGAACTGCCCTGGTCAGAGAACAGGCGTTTGAGGGCAGGGCGGCCGCCTGTTTTGTCAGGTCATCCGCGCTCTCATTCCCCTTGATACCGCAGTGGGCAGGAACCCACTGCAGTATTGCTTAACTATGCTTTGCGATGTTCAACAAGTTCTTCCATACCTACCTAGTAGAATCAGGGCGGCTCGCCAGTTCGAGCACGCGACGGGGACGTCTCGTCCTGAAACCTCTCCAGAGCTGCCCGTGGGGTGAATCTGCTGCTAGATTGACCAGCGTACCGCATAAATTCGGTGACCATCTTTCGCCAAAAAATTATGTGACTGCCTTGCGCTGAATTAGGCGCATGCGAAGTTACGCCGGACGTGCGCTGAAATTTACGGCGCAATCCTGCCACTACGCCGGACATATTTGGCATAACATGTATTTTTTCCAGTCTGGCAGTGGCATGGGTACAGGAAAACTATGGGCTGCTACTGAATGAGAAGGCTGTTGAGCTCACAAGACAGGCCAGGTGCACCTTTTCATGATAATATCCCAGTTGGGCAAACTAGACCTTTGGAATCAAAATATGGAGGCATCAAAAGATTGATTCCTTATGACCATATTTGGGCATAAATGCAGACCATTTCTAACTTACCAATCACGTAAAAATAAGAGAGTGTTTCAAGACGGAGCATGCCTGATCTTGAACAGAAATGCTGAAACTATCTCCTAAGCAAAATAATATTGCTCCTATCATAACAATTTGAATTCTATAGGTAGTGAAAGGCAATCAAGGAATTGATTCACTTTAAACAGATAATCATAATATTGATTCCCCATCAGCTGGCTAATCATTATTTTGATTCACAGGTAATGTTAAGAGATAGGCAACAATGACTTGCAGGAATACATCATTTATCTTGCTACATTCTCATTTAGTGGTATCCTCAGCACCACAACAGATACCTATAGCATTGTTGTAGTTAACCTTCACTACATTTGATAACAATTCACAATTTTTAAATGTCAAGAATACAAAAACTGAAGCAACAGGTAAAAGCCATATAATAAATATAAAAGCACTGCAACAATGATAATAAGGGGTTTGAAAATTTCATTTTGCCATTTTACACAAATACTGATTGTTTAGTATGCCATTCATGATACAAAAATAACATACAGTGTGATTTCCTCAAAACAGCTTTTACGTGATGGACAGTGGCTCTGTCTATTTCCCATTCACAAGGCCAAAGGGACAATTTCTTAGTTTTGAGGTAACACTTTTTGGAAAGCTACCACATTTTTCTACCTTTTTAAAGAAAAATCTCACCGTCATGGGCCTTTTTTCAACCGTAACGATACATTTGAAGTCAAAAGTGTATCCAAATGAATCAAAAAATTGATTCCATGCCCATATTTGGTCATGGCTCCTCCCACCAGAATCAAATTATTGATGCCTCCATATTTTGATTCCAAAAGTCTAGTTTGCCCAACTGATCCTGAAACAAAGTATGCACATTGGTAGATACTATGTATGTGTTACCAATAATTGTCTTTATTTTGTGCATTCTTGCAACTCTTAGAGTGGGATATACGCCTATGGATATATGGAAGGAGTCACAATAAGCAGGAAAACACAATGCATACGATGCGACAAGCGAGACAAAATTGACTTACTTGAATTGTAATTGTCCGACAAACCGACAGAACGTTTACGTTCCAGTCAGATTATCTTCCACGCTTCTCGGCCTTGTTTTGTACTTAGCTTCACACAATTAACAAGCAACCACAAAGCAAAATAACACAAAAGCGGACCAACCACCACCACGCCCCCGCAATCGTCACCACTCCCAAAACAACAAAACGTGCACAAGCACAAGCTTTCTAAAACAAGTGTCGGCTGTTCCATTTCCATGGGGCTCGGTACAGAGGAAAAATACAAATAAATAAATGAGGTAAGACCACTAAACCACTGCAATGAGTACGATTATCCTTACATGGCAAATAATGAACAGAAAAAATAATATTTTTGGCGCTTAAGTTTACCGCCTTTGCATGTTTTCTATTTTACAATATAATAGATAAGCCCCAACCGTTGGATAACCCGCTTCCAAGCATATTTTCAGCTGGATCTGCGTCACGCCCATCACACATCATCAGCAATCAGCATCACACTCATACCATACGTTTGAACCTGGACGCCTGCCTAGACGCACTTCTCACGTCCTCCACCTAGAATGAAGGTATTTCAATAACGACGGAAGCTCTACGCACCGTGAGGGGAAACGCCGCTCTTACATTAGGCGGATCCAAGGCCCATGTAAGGGCGGATCCAGCAAGGCGATCTCGGACGCCGCGGAGAGTATGCCCACCATAACGTTTCTCCAAATGTCAAAAAGTTTTCGGATTCCTCTGGTTCATCTGCCCAAAATCCCCTCCTCCTCTCCCACTGTTCCGCCAGTGCGCCTTTACCTTTACCTACCACAGGCACGGGCCACGACTCAATGATTGAACATCGTATCTCACAGATGAACACCTCGCGGCCTCCGCATTCTACATGGCGAAAAACAACGGAGACCGACATACATATATGTATTGCAGTTACTACATACACCATGGCTTATAGAGCACGAGCCCTCGCTGCCTAGGGCCATTGCGGCTGCCACCACCATTTCTATTGATTTGACAACGGTATCGCTGCGTGAAGAAAATTGGATTCATGCCACTGCACGCACGAGTTGTGGCATTATACGTACCAGTCACACTTTGTCTCAGGCTAAAACAGACATCTTACAATTACATTCTGGCTCACTAAATCGTGCAGCACAATCACACACACAGCGTTGATATGTATAATAAGGCAATCAGTTCGTGCATTTTCACGAAGAAAACAATAGAAAGCTAATTTTATTGCAGCTGGGCTCTTCCGCGTACTAAATATGCAACATTCACACCTTATCACACATAACATCATTACAACGAAAGAAAAAATGTATAGAAAATGCGCGTACAAGGAACGACGAATATTCTGGAATGTGCTTATCCCTCGCTTGGAAAATGGTCGTAGCAAAGAGAACGGTGTACTTGAAAAAAAAAAACATTCACTGCGCCCTGAAGCATATCAAAAGCATACCGCATATCGCCCATCCCTAAACCTTTGCAAGGAATGTTAACACATGATCATTCTCCGCCTGATTGGGCGTGGTTCAATAAAACAGCACCATATATAGTGACACCAGCAAACACGGACTAAGAGGGACACCGCTACCGCGCCCTACCGACACCCACATACACACTCACTCTGGGACAGACAACACGCAGTACCTGGCCAGACCGACCGCGTCGGCACGACTATCGCCCCGATGACGTCATCACGGCTGTCCCGTTCACGGCCACACCTTGGAGAAGAGCTCCATGAACGAGTCGTAGATCATGAACGTGATGGCCACGTCCAGGCAGACGCGCGACATGCGCGGGATGGTGCCCTTGTAGAAGGCTGCCGGGCCCTCGTGCACCCAGATCTGGCGGCAGCAGTCCCATGTGTTCTTGTACTTATGCGCCTCCAGGCCCTGCATCCGCGTCTTGATGACGTCAATGGGCGTGTTTCCGAACACGGAGGCGGCTCCGGCCACAGCGCCGAACGCACCTGTGGACGAACGAGGGCAGTCAGCATCAGCATCTCACGATATAGTGCAATAGAAGCGTTCCTACCAGACAAGGCGCGGTTACTTATAAACATAAAACAGTTTATTACCTATAACTTAATTAAACAATAGAGCTAGGAACCACTCACCGACGACCAGTTTGGGCACGCTCTTCTTGGGGTCTCCGCCGCGGTACCAGTCCTTCATCGACTCCATCACGTAGAACCGGATGGCCTGGTTGCTGCCCTGCTTCATGATGGTCGCCGTCAGGCCCTTGTACACGCCGCCCACACCTGGGACATATGGAAAAGAGTGAGTCAAGCGAAAGCAATTGTTACCAAGAAGTGTTAACGAATAAAACAAAACCTTTTGCATCCCATATCAGCTGCTGTACTTTTTGTATCAGTTCAGATCCGCATCGGTTATGTTTCGCCAGCACTTCGAAAAAAGGGAATTTGACAAAGTAGCTCAGATTCCATTACCAGTCTATACCAGACGATAGGCCGGGAGCTTAGCTGGGAAACCAGTGAGAAACGAAACGACGAGACCGAATGACGTAGCCGGTGTTTTCGGTACACAGTTATCACGGGACCCGATGAGCTGGAGACTGAGCCCTGAGGTGGTGTCGGGAGATTGCGGTTTAGAAGGGTAGAGCAGACGACGAAGCGTAAGTAAAAGAGCTGATGAGTGATGACAGTGAATATGGTACTCGAGACGAACGAAAGGTGCGGAGATTTTCGGCTTGAAGATTAGGGAGACAAAGTGCGCCGAGAAGGTTCTGCTGAACGACTGCTATTTTGCGCGAGAACTGACCACGGTCGTGAACTGAAATATAGTTCGTGAAACTTAGTTCGTGGAGTAATAGCCACATGTTTCAAAGAAGAAAGTTTTTTAATAGACTTAAAAGTAAACTGTATCTTTTGGGCCGATAGCTTATTGTCTCCGCCAATGGACACGTATCCTGTCTGATATGATATTCTGTACTCACCCTCTGCCCTGATGATCTCGCGCACGCCGTGGAAGAAGCCCTTGAAGCGCGGGTTGGCCGAGCGCTGGTCGTTGATGAACTTCACCTTGACCGTCTCCATGGGTGTGACGGCCAGGATGGCCTCGCTGACGCCGGCGCCGAGGCCGCACAGCAGCCGGTTCAGCGGCGACAGGTTACCGCGCTCGTCCACACGGTACTTTTTGAACTGCTCGAACGCACCGAACCTGCCGATGGGAGGTAAGGTGAAGCTGGAAACCTTGGAGACAGATATTCAGTGGGTAAGACTGTCGAGTTACAATACACTAATATGTCATGGAGGAACACATCACATCAAAGATAACTGGGAACGTACTTCTGTCCAAAAGGAAACGTACTAGACTAGCATGAGGGCTACAGTGGTATGCTGCGTTCCACGTCCGACGAGCATAAGATGTATATACGGGGACCCGCTGTTGCTACTGTACTATTGAGCGCAGAATCCGCGCTCATACCGGGGCCGAAGCGGGACAGGTCTGGTGTATCAGAGAGTGTACCGATAGTGCGCTGCGGAACAGTATCCCATCCAGCATAGGCGTAGGAACGTTTTCGAAAGTGGGGGGGCCAGGGTCCCAGAGGTCCAAAACCTAACCTACCCCCAAAATCCGATTTCTCCTCGGATTTCGGCCACTTTGTTTTCGCAAACATGCTCAGAGGTAAAAAAAAAAATCGAGACAAAAAAAGAAAAAAATTGGTTGAAATTTCAGGGAGTCTCCCGTCCATAAGCTCAAACTGATGGACGCGTTCCCCTGACCTCCGCAGCCGTTGGCACCCTTGCAAATTCCAGAGGCATCCAGCAACTTTTTCATTACGAGCAAGCGTGAAACGTGCAAAGCGAGTCTTTTCAATATACCTATAAAAAGCAGCATGAACGGCCCAGCTAGGCTCAGCCAGGCCTATAACGTTTTTAAGAGGTTTTATATCAGCGACCACTGCAACTGGGCTGATTGACTATCACTTATCAGAGGCCGGTGTGGGATTTTTAGACGGTCTGGGCCTTCAGAGGCCAGTTTAACCCTCCACGGCCCGGTCCTATAGGTTTTCTACATACGCGATGGCCGAAGGGGCGGGCCGGCGGGTACGACCCCCTCGCCGTTTCGCCCCAGGTGGAGCTAGCGCGTCGCGGTAAAACGAGCGTGTGCGCCGTTACGGGACGCAGAGATCGATACCCGATTTTATGGTCCTAGGTCAACCGGTGACCTCTGACACCGTTCCGTGCTTCTATCCTCAGGATACTGAAATCCTTCTCCTCCACACCGCAACCCCCTCCGGGCTGGACAGGCAACTTTATCTCATGCGGGCTGCTCCCTTGGAGCGGCACCGCTGCTCCCGAGGGAGCGCACCCCGTAGCCGGGTGCAGTGAGTGCCTTGGGGCTGGGTGGCCTGTCCTCTGGACGGGCTCAGCCCCGGCGACTCACTAGGGTGCCTGCCCAGACCAATGTCTCCCCCTATATCATATCATCCTTCCGGCTCTGAAATGGTCTCATTGGACCGAAAGGGCCTAACCCAACAAAACAAACAAAAACCGGTGAACTCTGAGGTCAGGTCAAGTGCCTCAAGGCACGGTTCCGTTTTTGGTGAATAACTTCGCAAAAAATGGCCGCAGAGCCGCGATTTTGCCAGCATCGTGTTCGCCTCTCTCAGGCGCGTCGAATGATATACTTTTTGTTTGGGTGAGGTAAACTTAGGGTGTTGACCTCGGGTCACGGTCAGGTCGGCGTCCCCAGGTCACGAAATTGGTCGAAGGAGGTCATGTCGCATATCATTCGATTCGGCAGGTCTTCTTGAGTCCATAGGTGGCTTTCCCGACTCGCTAGCTCAATTTGATCGGTACCTAGTTATTGACGAAAAACTAATAAGACCCTTATAACTTCATAAATGACGTCGCGCAAGGTCAACATTGCAAAAGTGACGCATCGAACCTTGCAAGGAGTGCATGAAATCACGATTCGGTGTGCTTGAGATAGTTGGAGATCGATCATTCCCGGCGCCAGAAAAAGTTTTCAGTTTATCCCCATTGACTTATACCTAATGGTGAGGTCACGAAAATGACCTGACCTCATATGAACTTTAGGAAAAATCCGAGATATACATTATACAAGTTGAAAGACTCCTATTGGATACTAGGTCCTCCAAGGTTCATTTCCCTGTGAAATCTCCTCTGGCAGTGAGGGCGTTGCGAAGTTGCGACATCTGAAGACCGTGCAGAGGTTCACTTATGACCACATGGGTCAGTGACCTGATCTGACCCGAAAATGCGGTTGGTGTCAAAAGATCCCGTTTGATTCAAAGGTCAGGTATGCCAAGTTTCAGCTCTCTATCGCCGGCGCGTTCGGAGCTATCGCGAAAAAAAAAACTATGGAGGGGCGGCACCCCCCCCCCCCCCCCCCCCCCGGCTGGCGAGGGTTAAGGCCCTCAGAGACCAGTACAGGGCCTGCAAAGGGCAGGATGAGACCTTAAGATGCCGACTTGGGCCATCAGAGGCTAATGTGGGTCCTTACAGGCCAGTATGGGCTCTCAGAGGTCAGTGTGGGACCCTAAAATGCCGGCATGGGCCGGTGTTGGACCCCAGAGGCCAGCAGAAGACCCTCAAAAACCAAGATGGGCCTCAGAGGCCAGCATCGGGTCTTCAGAATCCAGTGCAAGGCCCTCAGAGACTAATGCGTGTCCTTACAGGCCAGCATGGGCCCTTAGAGGTCAGTGTGGGGCCGTAACAGACCGGCATGGGAGGGACTTGGAACCTAGAGACCAGCGGAGGGCCCTCATAGGCCAAGGTGGGCCCTCAGAGGCCGATGCGGACCGTTGGAGACCGGCATCGGATCTCCGGAATCCAGTGCGGGGCCCTTAGAGGTCAATGTGGGACCCTAAAATACCGGCATGGGCCGGTGTTGGAACCCAGAGACCAGCAGAAGGCCCTCAAAAACCAAGATGGGCCTCAGAGGCCGGCATCAGGTCTTCAGAATCCCGTGCAAGGCCTCATAGGCTAATGTGGGTCCTTACAGGTCAGCATGGGCCCTTAGAGGTCAGTGTGGGGCCCTAAAAGACCGGCATGGGCCGGCGTTGGACCCCTCAGGCCAAGGTGGACCCTCAGAGGCCGATGCGGACCCTTAGAGGCCGGCATCGGGTCTTCAGAATTCAGTGCGGGGCCCTCAAAGGCACCTAAAGGCACCCCAGAGACAGAAATGAGGCCACCAGAGGCCGGTGTGAGGCCCTCAGACGCCGGCTGGGCCCTTGAGGCCGGTTTAGGGGCCCTCAAATGAGGTCAATGTGGGTTCTCAGCGGTCAATGTGGGCGCTTGACCGCCACTGAAGGGCCCTCCGAGATCAGTGTAGGACCCTCAAAGACTGGTTTGGGAGCTGTTAATAGCTAGCGTGGGATTCTTGAGTCTCGTGACAATCGAATAAGGGCCAGAGCCCCATACGCCCATGGGGGCCCATTGGTTGTTTGGGGGGGCCAAATGATATGATGGCCCCCTGATTAGCCTTTGGAGGGGGGAAGGGCATGGCCCTGATCCCCCTCTGCGACCGTCACTGCACTGAAAGTGGAAGGGGGAGGGGCAGAAACAGACATTGCTGGCCCCCAGCCTGTTTGAAACGAGGCTGAGGCACGGTCACCCTGGCCCCCAGCTAGTACGTCTTTGACGAACTATGCCGACCCCAAGCAGATAAGGTCAAGCGTTGGTCGTTTGTATACGCATTCTCCTGCACCGTGCTAGTATTGTCTTAGTATTGCCTATACCTTTTTAGTGCTCGCTGTCCCGCGCCTCGTATTCAACAAAATGCTGTCACCAGGACTCACAGTCTTGTCTCTGATATGGTTTCCTTCATTGAGTGAAGGAAATTGCGGTCAATAACGCTGTAGAAACAAAAAGGAATCCTCATTAAAGGGCAAGCTGAATAGTTGTCAAGTTACCGGGTGGTAGGTTAGGTACAGACAGACACTTAAGTCAGCAAAAAGTGGGGGGGCCAGTTAACATTGCTGGCCCCCCCACCTCCGAAAGTGGGGGGGCCATGGCCCCCCCGGCCCCCCCTGTTCCTACGCCTATGCCATCCAGGCGGCTGCTGTCTGGTGAACTTGGGTTGGGTCAGCCGCCGCACGGAAGGCAGCCGCCCCGGCCTCCCTCCCCCCGAGTGGGGGAGGGAGGCCGGGGAAGGGGAGCGATTCATGCAGTCGCAGCCCGCGCGGAGTTAGTGCGGCAGTGTGTACTGTGTATATTGGGATTATTTCTCCAGCAAAGTTTTGGGCTTGCTTGAAGTCCACTGATCACGGTGGCTGTTTGCGGGGAGCGGGCCCGGGCGGTGTCAGCAGATAGCTGTTCCCCTACACAGGCAGGCCACCGACATGGTGAAACGATGTATTATATGGCCGACCAGCCGGGGAAAGACCCCTTTCTGTAGGAATGCGATTAAAGAGGCTTCTGTGTTTTAAGGTGTGCCGTTACGTAGTTTCGGATCGTCCTTAAATTCTTCGCCCTCTTTGCTCTCACCGCAACGTTTTATAGAAAAACTCCTGATGTTTTTGGCCTTGCTCCTTGCTTTTAACCTTGCTCTTCCAGACCATGAGCACACTTTTTATTAACTATAAATGGAAGTTTGCCATGTTTCTCAAAAATGATCATCTCACCTTAATAAAAATTCCGTTCCTATCAAATAAGTACCGGAAGCACAAATCTCACCGGAAGTCTGAGCCGAACTATAAGCGAAAATGTCACAACTTCCCTATGGCCACCGCCATTCTGTCTGAACTAGACTTTTTGTTTCTCCGAACTATATGGTAACATAACGTCAATGTGACATAACAATTCACATTTATTGGGCATGCGTTACGAATGCGTGCCCCTCGGTATTACCGTTATGAAAGTTGCCCGAATCGGCGCTTAAGAACTTTGCAATTTAAAAATTTAACCCTCGCCCGTGGACGGCATTTCGCCATCCTTTCCAGTGGAGGGGGGGGGGGGGTACGACCCCTTCTGCCGTTTCGAAACGCGTCGTCGTAGAGCTTAGCGGAAAAACAGCGTATTGCTCTCGACGAGAGCTCGCGATTGCGCATATTACTTTTGACTATAGGTCAATATTTGACCTAAGTTTGGCAGGTTAAAGATCAAAGTTCGGGAAAATCGGCATTTTTAACTTTGCGCGCCTGTAGCGTCGCCGCTATGGCAGATATCGTCATGGAATTTTCGCCATCG